TTCAATCAGGCACAATCAGTTAGACCATTTTAATTGGCTGTCTTTGGCATCAGGAGTGATTAAAAATGTTGTCATTTATTTGAATCATTTGTGTATACATCTAATATAATATAATAAGTCTTATTTTAGCAATAGTTTGAAAAATAATAATTGTATTTACTTATAAATGTTTGTTAGTGAATTTGATATATCAACAATTTATTTTTATTAAATATGTGATTATTAATAATTTTTTAAAGTTCCAAAAAAAAAAGTTTACAGTCAATTAGCCATAATAATAATAATAACCAATTAGCGATTGTGATTTACAGACTGCTGCATAATTAAAGGTACCTACTTTTCTCTGAACTTAAAAAAATTATTAAAAATCACAAATTTAATGAAAACCAAAATTTTCAAAAATAAAAAAAAAAAGAATTTAATTGTCTTTATTGCAAGATATAGTGGGTATATCTTAATGGAACATCCTGTGTATTAATATATTTTACAAGTATAAAATTTATCCAAATGTTATCAAAAATTAGTCCCGGATGAAGTGTTTCAAATGTGGTCCAAACTAGGTACAAATATGCCATGTCCATTATCTAAATGAATCTTTCCAAAATAAGCCAGACTCAATTCAACACCAAAAATTCAATTCAATGTGCACATAAAACTGACTTGGTTTTAGAAACAAATAAATTCAGTTATAAGTTACTGAAATATCATAAACTAGCAAAATGAACAGTTATGATAAGAGAGCCTAGATTATAAGAGAATGGTTAACTGTTGTGATGGTTATTAATTGTCCAAACAATTTCCCCTTTTTTTTTAAATTTCAACATTTTAACAAAATTGCACACTTACTAAAATAGATAGCTCATTACCACTAATTAATAAATAGTGAAATAGAATATATAACAATTCTAAATAATAATTTTAGACTAATTTCCATGTTATCCAACTTCTTGAAAATATCTGAAAAATAATAAAATCAAAATTAATTTTATACCTAAAACAAAAAATAATATATAATCTATAATAATATATAAATCTTATATAATAATTAATATCATTTCAGATCAAATTTGGGTACTGAAAGTGCTCTATAAAATGTAACAAATTGTGTACATAGGAGAATAATAATTAAAAGGAATTGTTGTTTTCTTATATTTAGCTCAGGCGTTTGACACAATAAAAAATTGATTTTTAAGTTACCTTTATGGTAGATAACAAATAGTTAAAATAGATTATATAACAAGTGATGCTAACTGTAATAAATATAATGTACCACAGGGCAATGTTCTGGGATCATTATATATTAATGCAGTATTGGACTTATATATTGATGGTAGAATAGTGACTTACATGATTGACACATGTTTGTTATTTTGGGATAAATTATGGGAAGGAGTCTTCCTAAAAGTTATGAAAGGATTAAATTTGTTTTGCATGCAATTTCTTATAAGTAAGTGTAATAACCAAGACTACACACTATAGATTTATAATTGTAACAGAAATTTGACCTGTAATCATCAAAATTGCCATATAATTAAAGAAATATCACAAATTCGTTATCTAGGTAAGAATTATGTAGTTGGAAAACTACATTCCTTAATATATTTTATATTTGTCAAACTCAGAGATATGCTACTGGTTCAAACTATACAAAATATTTGTTTGGCATTTTATCAATCATTCAGGATTAAAAATCATTTATGATTTGGGATGGAGTTAAGACAAATTTGTTTAATTTCTATAAGTAAATTACACGCTTTTGGGTATTCTGCCAATTTATTAAATAATAATACCAGTAAAATGAAAACTAACCAAACTGACTTTTTTCAAATGCAAGAGAACTTATGATAATCCTGTTTAAATATACAAGTATTGAAATATATAATTTTAATAAAAATATAATAAATTATAAAAATTAAATTGTTGACATATTAGTACAAATTTAACAAATAACAGTTGCATAAACATGATTAAATAATGAATATAGAACACTTAACTTTTATTTACAAAAATATATATATAAAGCTGCCTGTCTAAAAGATTGCCTATGATATAGTATACGGGTATTAATAATTTATTATATTTTTATTAAAAACAATATGTATTAAATATTCTGTTAATAGGTATAGAATAGTTGCATAACCAAAAACCATTCACTAAGATTTTTATCATAACTATGAAAACCTCTACCTAGTAATGTGATCTGGTTAAAAAATACTACTTTAACATATTACCATTTACTCGGGGGTTGCTACAATTACTACATATGTTTATTGCTATTGTCATATACTACATCTAACATATTATTCCGAATACAATTGTTACAAAATGTCTATTACTCCAAGATTAAATTTAAAATTTGATTAAGTAAATAAAAACTGGTGCCAAATGAAATAACTCACAAATTGATTGATATTACCTCATTATGGTACCTTAGATCATACACCATTCCTATTGGCAATCCACTTTTGTATATTCTCTTATAGGTTTTTCAAATTTATCTTTTTACTAATTCTTTGTCATAATCATGATATTGTTTTGTAAAACTATAACCTAATCTTTTTTGATTTAATAATTCATAAATTGTGCAAAATATACAACAGATTATCAATATGTAGGTAACAACAAAACGTGAAGTTTAACTTTGAAACTATTTATAAGGGACCCAACTTAATATTGTAGTTATTTACATTGGTAGCAGTTGATTTTCATAGCAAAGGGTCTTCCCCCCATAAACTGGCCCTTATTAGGTGTTAGATATTTTCGGTTACTGAGTTACTCTGATAAATACAAAAATGATTGTAGAATAGTCATATTTTTCGCACCTTTTTATAATATTATTATCATTATTATAACATAATTAAAGATAATTTAATCTTTAATATACCTAATACCTACTTTAGTCTTTGATATATTATGTACTTTAATATTTTATTTGAAATGGATTTAAGATGCATTATCCGCCATAAAAAAGTTAATGAAAAATTTTTTCTGGTTTATAATTGCATTATTGTAGTATTTTTAGTTCTTAAATGTACATAACAATCTATTTTATAGATTTCCAACTAATGAAAATCTTAGAAAAAAAAATGTATGGACATTAATTGTTTGCGAAATAAATATGTAGTTTCATAGTTTTATATCGTATTGTACTGAGTGCATTTGAAAAGTACATGACCATTATGAGTGTGCCTATAGTAATTAGGGGTAGGCTCGGATTAAGGGGAGAGGAGAAACACGAGAAATAGGGTCCCGTAAAAACGATATTATGAGTTGAATCAATAATTGATGCTTTTTTTTTTTGTTTTGCCTATTTATTCCATTTTAATAGAATAAAGTCTCTTTATTAATATGGGCTCACACAACCCTTAATCCGGACCTGTGAAGGGGATCATCCTTGGCCATGAATATAAATATATAAATAAGAAATATTCAGTTTAAATTACTATATTGTTAATGCACAATATTTTTTAATATATATAATTATGATAACATTTTTCTATTGACAAAATGCATCCTACTCTCAATTTATATGGTATAGGATGAGCCAGTCTATCAGTATATTACAAGTATAATATTATAGTCTATGCAGATTACCCATCACAGTCCCGCCACTAACAGTTCCACAGGGACCACTTGTAGACTGGAATGAAATGTTTATATAGATACTTTTTGTTTTCTTATGATTAAAATTTAAGTTTTGGGAAAAGTTATAAATTGGTTCTTAATATAAAAATAAATACAATAATTATTAAATAACAGTGTCAAATTTGTAGAAATCCTATACTTACATATTTTATCTAAATTTCATTTGACATTAAACCAAACCATTTTCATAATTAATTTTATTTAAAAGTTTTATATTAATAATAATTAGTGTTTTGTTCTGTTATACCTACTTTATATAAACCAATATATAATAATAATAATTATACAACCATATAAACATTTGCATTTGCCAGGATGGAAATTTTAATTAATTGCTCCTGGGTGTGTTTATGTGTGTGAGTTCTCACCATTGATTTTTTTGTGTACAGGTACTTGACGCTAACAATTGCGATTATGAACAGCGCGAGCGGTTCCTGTTGCTGTGCGTGCATGGTGACCCCAACACCGACTCGCTGGTCCAATGGGAAATTGAAGTGTGCAAACTGCCCAGGCTGTCGCTAAACGGTGTCCGGTTCAAACGCATATCTGGCACGTCCATCGGGTTCAAGAATATCGCATCAAAAATAGCTAATGACCTGAAGCTCTGACTACACACCGAAAACCTATCGTCGGAGGATGCATAGGTTTTTGGATTCAAAAAAAAATTAAATACTCATACCTAAAAAAAATACACATATATTATTTAAAAATAAATAAACACACATGTACACATACACATAACACACACATATTAATATGTATTATATACATAAATATATATACAATATATAATTAGAAATAATGTGTAACATACTTGGGGTTGAACAGGGAGAGTAGAAAAAATGTATCGTCATCATGCTACTCTGTCAGAGAGCTCTATCATTTGTCACCCCAAGTATAAAATAATTAATAATTTTAATATATAATATAATAGTGTGTACCTATTATTATTATTTTTATTATCATTATTATTATTATTATTATAATTATTATTATTATTATAGCTATTGTGTAATTATTATTATATTGGACCGAGGTTATTCGATGTTATAATATGATATTAATTATTAATTATTATTATATGATACACTGATTTCTGATCGATTTTGTGTATATATATATTTTTTTGAATATTATGATTCAGCTGTTTTAGGTTTTTTTCTCATTTTTATTATCATTATTCTTATTTTTTTTTTTTTTTTTTTTTTTTTTTTTTTTTTTTTTTTTGATTTAGTTGAATTATTTTTAGCTTATAATAATTATTATTATTATTTTTTTTTTTTTTTCAAATATTTTTATTTCCCATAGTAATGTAAAAAAAAATATTCAAAATTACATTTGATTTTTGTATAATAAGAATAAATATATAAAAACAAAAACAAAAAAATAATATTTATATAAGTACATAAAAATTAATCAACAAGTATATCAATGTAATATTTAAATATGAGTTTTACTGATTAAATGTTCTTTTTTTAAAAAAAAAAAAATATATATATATATATACATAGTTATATGGTTTGCCTAAACCATTAACATATTTTATTATAATATTATTAATATTAAATTAAAATATACTAACATGTACTTACCTCTGATGTAAAAATATTAATACAATTCCGTAATGTTAATAAATGATTAATACTATTGGTTTGTTGTCTCTCACAAAGTTGCTTTATTAAACAACCATGCATAACTTTTTTATAATAGTAATAATAATGCTCATCAGAGGTAACTTCAGCTTTTGAACACCCATTCGTTTTAGTTTCCCTGCCCTCATTTAAATTAAATATTGGCTTAAAATTCTGTTCAGAATTATATTGAGACATATGTATAAAAAAAACGGGAGGGGGAGCATTCTATAATTTCCATATTACTATACTACTTTGGTAATATATGTATCTTTTGCAATGAAAAATTATTTCACTACATTACTGCCTTGACTAAATATTACCTACTACTTTTATATTATAATAATATCACATTAATATATATGTATGTTTTTAATGTCCAGAATTATATGTGATATATACACACACATATATATGTTGTGATAATATTATTTGTGACAATCTTCTCCCTTGCCCTATCCAGACTGATGATCTATATATTTTTGGAAAGAAAGTATTTCAATGAATTTAGATTATATTTATATGCTTATTGTTACTGTAATAGTAAAATCCCAGATAATTATACTATGTTCTAGATCATCATAATAATTATGTATAATATAATATAAATGAAGGTTCATTTGCATGTATATGTGACAGATCTTTATTATTTTTTTTTAACTGCATTTTTTTTATAAATATAAATGTAATTATAATATTATTTGTATAAATGGTCTCCCTTATTCAATAAATAATCATTATGTTACTAATAAATTATTGCTGAAATGACAGATTGCTTTTAATAAGAACAATACTTGCTAAATATTATGTTATTTTGATTAACAAATTTCTTAAAATTTGGCATTTCTAAGTCCCACCTATGCTTCTGTCAAAATAACAACTTTAAAAAAATATTTATATGCATATAAATATACGATATACAGTGTAGTAAATTGTTTAATAAGTTGGTATCAACAATATTATGTATATATATATATATATTATATATATATATATATTATAGTATATTATCATACTATTTTATGTAATGTAATTTACAATTTATTTTGATTTAAATTTTGTTTTAAAAAATTTAAAAAAACCTGTATGTAGATTTATGGGGTTGCTATAATTGTGTTAAAAGTCTTGCGAAATCAGTTTCAGCGTAATATGTCTTTGTACATTTCCACACACAAATTAACAATTATACAATATTGCATTTCACATTATTTTTTTCTCATATATATTATTTTTGAAATATAATTATTATACATTACTATTTATTATTATTGATATTATTTTTAATGTAAAAGCAGCAATAAATTAACATTCAAAGTACATATTTGGAGGGTGATCGTAAATAATACATAATAATAAGTTGTTATTTAATGGGGTAACTGTAATATGTTACTGTAAAATAATTCTAAGTGATGGCAATAATCAATTTGATGTTGGAACAGCCAGGGAAATTTTTTATAATTATTATGAAACATATTTTAATTATTAAATAATAATATATTGTACTGTTTTCTGCTTTTTAATAGACAAAATACTGTTTTCGTGGGATGTAAAACCAAAAATGATGTGATATAAATGAAATCCTATTAAATTAATTACTTACATTTATTTTTTTAGTAAAATAATAGATATTTTTAATAGAAATTTTCAAAATTTACCAGTAACATATTATATTGAAAAAAATAATGAAAAACCAAACTAAATAGGTATATCACAATATTATATTAATGTTGAAATAATATTATATAATTTTTTTTTTTTAATTATTATTTTAGTTAATAGAAAATATATAGAATAATAATAATAATAGTAATATTATGTTAATACCATCAAATGGTTATGTTTGTATAATATGCAGTAGCTACATAAAATAATAAGTTATCTTTTCTGTATGGGAAATTTATTTTTAAAAAAAAAACCAATTAAGAGATTATATTTATATGAGTATATATTTGTATATACAAGTTGTCACAGGTAATCAGTTAGGACTTGGCATACCTGGGTGTTTTTTTTTTTCTTTAGATACTCTGTACCCAGCTAACAGAATTATTATCTGGTGAGTGCCTTGTTTGAAAAAAATTAACAATTCTCAAAGTAAAATCAACAGCCAATTATTTTATATAACAATCAATGCTTGCTTGTTACCTATAAACTCCTAAAACAGTATCAGCTTATATAATGAATTATTATTTTCCATAGATAGTGCGGTGTACATTTTATTATATTCAAGGCACTTATAAAATGCAAATATTATTTTTTTAGAAACCATAACATTACCCACATTTAAATATTTAATACTGTTGAAAATTATTAAAGATTTTATTTTAGATGGGGCTTAAAACTCTTAGTTATAAGTACTGATTCATAATAATATCATGAGTTGTTAATTAAATGCTATTTTTTTATAACATAATAATATACATTTTTTACAAGGTTATTATATTAGTACCTATTTGTAACATAATATAGTTTAATATAAAAATTACCCGGTGTCTAAAACCAGGTAATGCCAATTTCAAAATTACTCTGTACCCATTACCTGTAAACATTTTCTACCTGCAACAACTTATGAATATTATATTTTAGTAATTAATGCTATATTATTTTTGTTATAAATCATATATAATTACATAGGTATATGAAACAAATTATTTGAAAATAATTTTATTTTTGATTTAAGATTTTTGACAAATGTGGTCTTGAATATAATTATAGGTATGTAATTATTATAATGTACGATATAGTCTATTTTTTTTTCTTATCATTTAGACGTTGTATAACACCATTTAATATTTAAGTATTTTTACATTATTAGATATATTATATTGTTAACATAATATATGTGTCTGTACAAATTGTACAAGTATATAATGTATAAAACTTAGTTTTATGTAGGTAAACAAAAAACAAATGGCTCCAATATTATAATAATACATTTTTCGTTGATGTAATACCATACCTATTTTAGTATGTATAATAAAGAACAATTTTTTTCTAATTAATAATCAATTTTTTAGGACTAAAATTTGTTTCTATTTATAATAGTATATACCTAATAATTATTATATTTTATGTTGAGTATATTATATTATAACAAAGTATATATATATATATATATATATAAGAATAATAATGTTACAAAATGCTTATAAAAACAAATTTTAGAAACAGTTTTCATTTCTCTTGATTGTGTAAAAAGAATAAATAAAAACATGTAAATTGTACATGCAATTATATAAATACACAATACAATATATGTATATGATATATAATTTATGTATGGAAAAAATATCATCAATCAATCGTTGTTGTACATGTATTCTTAAGCCCTAAATATGAAAATAATACTGTATAAAAATGAAATAAATAAAATATATACAATATATATTGATTTTAATTCGTTTATGATTGTACAACATAAAAATAATAGTGTTGAACAATTCATATTGTTTTTGAGATTCATGAACCACAATATTTTATTCACTGTATGATCCGATTCTAATAAAAAAACATGACTATTTATTTGATGACGGTCTACTTTTTTTTCTTGTACATATCCTATATTTACAATGGTGGATGAGAAATCACATGGATATTTGGTAGGTAATATTAAATTTTGAAAAAAAAAAAAAAATGTATAGTGACATTTATGGTGAGGACTCAGACTTGTGGGATTCGGCTAGTCCTCTTCGAGCTTGTCTCAGGATCTGCGAAATGTTCGGTCTGAACCGGCGGTCAACTATTATGCAGCTGTCGACGAATTTCGTTATCTGCTTATGGGTGTGAAAACAAAAAATAAAAATTGCCATGATACCAGATAAAAGTGTATATACATCTGCAATTATTCACATATACAGTGATTATGGTCCACAAATTTCTACTGCCATTTAGATCAAACGGAGAAATTCTTTCACCGGAACAACAATAATTGTTCTGTACTGGAGTTTTAATTTTACGCGGTACGTACCTACCAATAATCTACAGTATCCAATGTAGCTTTGATAAAGATTCGAAAAGTATCGCGTGTTATTTTTTAATCAATTTTTTTTATTATTTAAATACATTTAAAGGAATATTACTTACTACAGGTATTGAGAGAAGGTATATTATTTCAAATGTTTGTGTAGTATATCGCATTTTTCTTAGCTAATTAACGAAGAAGAAAAAAGGTATTTCAAAACTCAATATCTAACTGAATGGATTAGGTATTTGGAAAAGGGAACATGTCTAATATTTTGACATTTTTTGATTTTTACAAAAATGTATTATTTGTATCTAAACTCACTTCATATACCTAGTAATAGTATAATATGTGTCTTTTTTCGTTGATTTCGAAAAGGGAACATCTACCAGATATGGTTATGACTTTTTGTCTCTCCTGTAAAATTTGAATTTCTAGAGATGTTCCCTTTTCCAAATAACCCGTTAAATTGTATAAACGATCGACCCAAGAAGAATGTCAAAATTCCAGTTTGGGATTAGAGCGGACTACTATATTATAGTATAATATGAGAAAATAATTGTTTAAACTCTAATCGAAACAAAATTAGACGCCTCATTACGAATCGTAGTCCATAAATAAGAGTAGATATATGACGTACGAGTAACAAATTTAAAAATTAGTTGAGAACAAAAAATTATTGGGTGCAGTAGTACCTACGTGAAAAAATTCAAAATGCACAAATGGTACGCAGATATAAAAAGGTTGGAAACCACTGACGTAGAGGTTTATGTGAAATAAAATTATAAGTATGTATTTTTTACTCCAGGATTATATACTCGTAAAGTGTAGTATAAGTACTCACCTTGACGGAGTAAACGTCGGACGGTATGGGCGGGTAAAATCCGTTTAAAATCCTTTTGGTCATCAGATTCATGTCCAACGTGTTCAAATAGAACGGGGCTTGGAGAGCGGCTAGCTATAAAACGAGAGAGAGAAAAATACGATAATCAGAGGTTATACTCGTATGTTCATAAGAAAATCTACCTGTACCCGATTACTACGACTACATGCATAAACTTGTTTCCGAGACGTATCGGCGTATAAATCGTTTAGCATACGGACACGGATTTAAGTGGTATGAAAGGGAACAAATAATAAAAGCATAGCAGATGAGAAGGGACATATTGCAGAAAAGATATCCTGGAGGGCAGGAGAGGAGCTGGTAGGATTATTATAGCTTAATAGTTTAGTCAAGAAATGTATAATGCTACCTACGTCATTATGCAAATATGCAAATATACATTTCTGAAAAAGTTAAAATATTCTATTTTTTTATTACTTCTTCATATTATGGGTTTTTCAGAATTTAAGACGATTAAATTTAAAAAAGTAGAAAAGTCAATTTCAAGCAGACTTGATGGTAAATTCAAATCTGTTTTCAAAATTCTTATCGCTTTACTAGACCAATCGGTACGATGAAAACAGAACACGTCTAAATTCTATGTTGCACGTGTATAAGACAAAGACACAAAATCACTTTTTCCAATCCCCCTAAACTTTAAATTCGTAAAATTTGTTGGATCTCAATAATAGTGAAATAAATACGGTGGATAAAACTATGATAAAACTTTACTAACTACTGTTATTCAATTATTTTTAAAATTATAAATTTTAAATTGGTCCAAAAATCTCTTCAAAATTGCCTATACGCAACCCCTTAAAAAATATTAAGCGTATTTATGGCGGAATCGAGCCAACTATAGAATAGTGATCATTCCATATCACTTTCTGAGCACTACATAGTGGTTTATTTCACCTAATTATTATAAAGTAAATTACAACGATATCTGAACTTTTTTTCCAGTATCAACTATCGTCTAAAACGAAATACGTTTAATTGGTCCTTATATAGATTTTCGGACAGTTTTTACTAATTTTAATATAATAATAAAATATCAATACAAGACAGACTTCTTACCTCATATATGACACAAGCCATTGACCATATGTCACTATCGAAGTAATATTTTTGGTGTAACATTCTCTCGGGGCTCATATACAGTGGAGAACCCAACACGGACCGACACGTCAGGTCCTTCGTGTTAGACATTTCTTTACTGAACCCGAAATCGCCCAGTTTAATTTTCATTCTTTTCCATCGTTCGTACGGCTTCTGGTTCGATTCTTCCAATCCGTACACGAAAATGTTAGCCGGTTTAATGTCTATATTATGAAGGCAATAAAAATACATTGAATTACTGTTTCAAATCATTTTTTATTTTCTCGTAAAACCCTTTAATTATTGTGTATATTAAAATCATAAGGCATACATCATATTAAAAAATATTATAAATTTAAAGACATGGACAAGCATACCTACTAGTTATTATAATATCATGTATATAATACTAATCAAGTATTACAAATATTATCAGTATTACAGGTATTATCAAGTACTGGGTTTTAAAAAAGGTACATTTTAAATTCGGGGCATAACAAAAAAAAACAATACAAAGAGCCTTGTAAGTTTTACAAAAATGTGTTTTCTTTTCTCGATAAACAATTTTACAGCTAATTAAAATATTCAGATTATTGCGTGGCATATCTTAAAAGTTGCAGATTTCTCAACTGATGGTACCTATTTTATGAGAAATTTTGTTTGAAATTCCTAGTACTTTTTCAAATAAATAACTCCTTGTATAGTTTTTGTTGAAAATACTCTTTTAGTTAGGCAAATGCTCCAACCTTTTCACGCACTACTTTAAAAGATGCAGAACTTCTGTTCCAGTGGTACTTTTTATGAAACATTTATCGATTTTTTCAGCAGTTTATCCTCTAGATCTTTTTTGGTATAGCTTAATTTTGGTTATTTCTTGGTTAGCGACAAAAAGATGCAACAGATGATTTATTTATAAATTAATAATTTATTATAGGATATAATATGAAATTTTAATCTAAAATTTCACGTAGTAATTAAAAACTATAACAAATGTATTCGCATATAAAGAATGATCAATCTACGATAAGACACTCATTATTTCGGGAAAATACTAACTTTTTTTGGATTTTTGTTTTTGATAACTTAAGAAACAAATATCTCTAAAGCTCTAAAATATTACATTTCCATTATTTTTTTTGTCATTTTTAAATTCGAGGGTGAAACCACTTTTTCTTTTCAAATAGCAACTTATATTTAAAAATTCGATAAATATATAAAGTTTTCATTCAAATTCGGGATATTCGACTATAAGTTTGAATAGTAGACAAATAGTGGAGCATCATTTGTGTGGCAAAATGGCGTGTGGCGTTTGAATTGCGTTTTACTACTCTTCTCATACCTCACAAATAAATTCCTAAAAACGTTAATACTTTCTGAGATAAGTATCTTATCGATGATTGATCATTCTGTAAATGTGTATAGTGTGTATAATGAACATTTTTTCAGTGGCGGACTTGTATCAGAACGGCCCATGAAAATTCAAAAATCTAACAGCCCAGCACAATACTTTTTGTTGCGAGCTCAGCACCATAATTTTTTTTAGATTCTGTAGAGCACTTCAAGGACTATAATGGTTTTACTATAAAGCCGAAATTAAACTTTTACGACAAGGCACGGCCAGACAAAACATTCTATTATTTAATTCTTTACAGTAATACACATCCAGTGGAGTATTTTCGGGGGGAGGTCCCGGGTCACAACCACCCTCAAAAAAAAATAATATGATTTAAAAGTCATAAATGACTTGCTACGAAAGTATAGAGAAAGAGAACATTAATTTATACAGAGTGATTTTTTTATCATGAACCTGTAATTATCTCTGAAGATTTTAAGTGAATTTGATTTCTATTATTTTTAATCTTCGTAGAACCGTTTAAACTTTATATTAAAATCGTTTTTAATTTTTACCTTTTCTTCTTATATCTTATATAATTATATACTTTTGGTTTTTAAATAGAAACCCCATTTTTGAACACGGATTGGAGTAGAATATTTTTTTCTAGAAATGGTAATATGTGTAACACTAATATCTGATTTACAGTTTATGAGTTCAAACTGTTTAAAGTTTAGACTGGAGGAGTAAGGAAGAGTTATCAATTATCATTTAAAAGTAGATATAATATTTATGGAACAGAGGTAAAAAATTAAAAATTATTTTAAAATAAAACTTAAACGATTCTACAAAGATTAAAAAAAATATAAATCAAATTCCCTTAAATTTCCGAGATAATGTTAGTTCATGATAAAAAAATCACTTTTTAGAAAAATTATAACCAATCCCCCCCCTACAAACAATTTGAAAATACGCTGCTGTACATAATTATCCGTAAAAAGCACGGCACGACAGGACACGAAGATTCAACCAAAGAATATTTTGTCTGTGCCTGTCGGAAATGATTTAATTTAAATAAGTATACATATTTGAATATATATATAATACAATTAATAAATAATTAACTTACATATACATATATATTAGGTTGGTCCAAAAACACTTAATTACGAAATTCAAAATTTGTACATATTTTTAAGGTATTGAAAAAAAAAAAAATGTTTTGCCCATTTTGAAGCAATGTCCACCTTTTTTTATTCTGTTTTTCCCGATTATTATGAAAACCCCTCGAAAAATCAAAAAATAACCTTGCACCAAGTCACTAACTAAAATTTTCTTTCAAAAAAGGTGTTACACTTAACAAATCAGAGCAAGATTTCTGGTAGAAAAGTTTCTCACACGCACACAAAAAAAATATAAAAAAATGTAAAAACACACATCATCGTAAAACCAATACATTCCTTACTAGTCTCCGAATCTAAAAAAACAAAATCATAAATAATAAAACCCAACAGTTTCGTAAACTTTTCCATTTTTTTCGTTTTGTCCCAGTTTTTAAGAAAAATAAAATAAAAAGAATAACCACCTCATTGTACCAACTATAAATTCCATATAATAACTCTTCTGTCATCTTTTGATTGGAGCAAGATTTATGGTAGAAATGTTACAAACAGGAAAAAAAAAGCGCACTTCATGGTAAAACCAAAACATTCCTCATATCAACATAGATGCCAAAATATAAATGCTTAAAGAATTTTAAAAATGTCCTCTCAACTAATTACAAAGTAAGATATTTAATTATTTTATTTTATAAATATAAACATAATATACTATAATATTAAGGTTTTGAAGGTCATTCGAAATTGTGTATATAATTATAAAAATATATAATGTTTAAAATAAGTTTTAAAGCTGAGAACTTCGCATGCTTACAGAGTGGGCTTTCCTAATTTATACCAATAATACAAAATTAAATTATCACATTAGATTGATCGTTAATACAATTATATTCTAAATTTAGTAATACTTATAATATAATACTGCCAGTTATCTCGTGACAACGTGCAACATTTACACTAAACAAAATTAGTACAGGTAAGTACTATTTTTAAAATATTTATCAATGCTAAGTGGGAGAGGTTTCTGTCCTGTATACCTTTGTATCCTTACTTTCGACTAAACCGCTTTATTAGTAATATTTTAACTGCCCAGCTCAACCGTCCAATCGTAATTGTACCGTAATTGTCTTATTTTGATCATAAAATAATATGGGAAAAATAAAAATGTTATAACACAATAATTGTGATATAATTATAATTGTGGTACCTCTGTGCATGATTCGCGATTTTTGCATATGATAAAGCGCACTAGACAGCTGGACAGTGCAAGACCAGACGATCGGTTCTCGGACCAGACAAAACTTATCATAGTGCTCGCGGATGATCCGTCTCAGATCGCCACCGGTGGCCAGTTCCAAGCCGATTTTTAATTCAGTGTCCGCAAAATCCCACCACAAACATCGAATGATATTAGGATGATTCAGTTTCTAATTACAGATTAAACAAAACAAACATTGTAAATAATAATATGAAAATATGTTTTAATTTTAAATTCTGGGCGGAGTGAATAATGTATTGGTTTAACTATGATGTTTGTTTATTTTATTTCTTGTTTCAGAAATCATGTTCAAAAAAAAAACGACAAAAGAACATTTTTATAGTTCTTTAGGTCTAGTTGGTAAGTAAGCAATTTGTTTATTGATTTTCCGTGTAATTTTTTTATATAATTAAGGAAAACTGGGAAAAAAAACGTAGAAGGATCGAGACAGTATACGGACATAATGATTTCATTATTTTCAATTTTGTTTTATTATTATATTTTCTAGTTTTTTTTTGGTCAATACTATGTGGATAAAATTGATTGATTAAATAGATATGCATGGAAATTTAACAAGTGATTCATTAGTAATTCAACTTAAAACGAAAAAAAAGAACTGATACTTAGGATGGGAGCGGACACTGTTGTAAGGGAGAAGTTGGGAAGGTAGGAAACATAAGGTTATTTCATTTATATCTGTAATTAATGATAAACCATTACTTGACGAAAGACGATTCTGAGCACAGTTCGCTAATACATAATTTGAAATGCCATAGTTTTTTTTTTGCGATTTTCGTTTAAATTTAATTTCAAAACGCTTATTAAAAAAAAAACGTCGTCTGATGATTTTGGAAATTTTACCAAGTCTAGGTAAGTCAAATATAAGTATTTTATTGATATAAATAAATTTTATTTTTTTGAGAGTAGATCCTTATAATATTATATATAATATTATAGTATTGCATATTACCAAACAAAAAGAATAAATATAAATTCACCTAGATTGTCAAACATTTTATTTTTTAAAGTAGGTACCTATAATTATACAATTATTTTCAAATGCACTAATTTTAGTGAATTTGATTTATATTTTTTTTAATCTTTGTGGAATCGTTTATGTTTTATTTTAAAATAATTATTAATTTTTTACCTCTACTCTATACATTTTATATCTACTTTTAAATGATAAAAATTAATTGATAACTCTTCCGTACTCCTCCGGTCTAAACTTTAAACAGTTGTAACTGTAAATCTGATATTAGTATAACACATATCAAAATTTTTAGAAAAATATACTCTATTCCAATTTGTGTTCAAAAATGGGGTTCCTATTTAAAAACCAAAAGTATATTCTTATTGAAGATATATAAAGAAAGGGTAAAAATTAAAAAAAGATTTTAAAATAAAGCTTAAACGATTCTACGAAGATTAAAAATAGTAGAAATGAAATTCACTTAAAATCTTCCGATATAATTACCAGTTCATGATAAAAACAATCACCCTGTATAAAATAATGTTACCTTACCCATACATTTATATATTGGACATAGCAATCAATTTTCTCGAAAAAATATTTCTGCAAATGCACAACCACTACGATAATTTAAAGTGACATAAGTAATTTAAAAAAGAGCTGATACTGTGGACGGGAGCGGCCACTTTTGTAGATGATAAGTTGAGAAGGTTGGATATATAAGGTTTTTTCATTTATATTTGTAAGCAATGATAAACCATTGCTTGACGAAAGACGATTCTGAGCACAGTTTGCTAATACATAATTTGAAGTGCCGTAATTTTTTTTTGCGATTTTTGTTTAAAATTGATTTCAAAATGCTTATTAAAAAAAAAAGTCGTCTGATGATTTTAGAAATTTTGCCAACTCTAAGTAAGTCAAATATAAGTATTATGACCATGTTTTAAGTCTCTACGTGTATTTATAATCAAATTACAGCAAAAAACCTCCCAAAAATTAAAATTCCTTAAAAGCTCAAATGTGGCTCAAAATATTTGGCAATCATACCGTTAGAAAGTGAATGAAAAAGAAAAAAAAAATTTTAACTTGGGATTTTTCGATTAAACCATTTTTTCTGGTAGAAAACGTCGTCCGTGTTTTTATAAAATAATGAAATCGTGGAATTGTACGTTTTCCTACGTTTTTTCCCATTTAATATAAAAACCCCTAGGGAAATCAAAAAAAAAAAAAATGACCTGTTTAAAGCACCACCCCAGAAAAATTCTCTTTTAGAAAAAGTGCTATACTTTATACTTCGGGGCAATATTTCTGATAAAATTTTTGTACACAGTAAAGAAAATTTAAAATAAACATATTTGTAAAACCAATACATTGCTCGCTCCGCTCAGAATCTAAAACACATCATATGAAACCCCCACTACGCTCAAAATATAAACATAGACATAATTACATTATTAGTTTAAGATTATGAGAGAAGCGTGAAATTTAATAGGTTTAAAAGTAATGAAAAGTTTATGTCAGTGACGGTGACTTTAATTTAATTGAATTCTTGAAATTTCGCTTCAATGTTATATGTCGCTTTCGTTTTAGATGTTTATAAAACATATTATTAAACATGTATATTAAAACATTGTTATTTTAATTTAGTTTAATTTTATATACAACCAAATAGGAAACGTATTCAAATCTTTTTAAACTACTAAAATGATTCTCTAACAAAATATTAACTATGACTCGTAACGAACTTATGAATTAACTGCACTTTCCAGAGTACAGACATTTTACAATTTCCCAAACATTCCGGTTTTTTTGAATTATTTATATCTATTTAAAATGTTCAAATTTATTTTATTTAATGTGAACACAAGTATAATTGTTTTTTTTTTTTATTAGCATCTCAAATTCAAATATATTATGATTAAATTTGTTAAAAATACTTCCAACTGCAATTTGTTTTGAAATCACAAATCAATATACATTTTTAAATTTCTTAAAAACTGTTTAACCGAACTTCACTGGTTTCAATTATTTAAACTGAGTATTGAATTATCTATATACACAATAGTATCGTTCGAAATCTGTACAATACTAATACAAGAGTAAATATTGAAGTTTACTAAACGAGGTCAAGAGGATATCGGTGTAGGAACATTATAATATTGTATAATAATTATTTATTTTATTATGTTTTCTCGTCTTTGTTGTTGTGCATCATCATAACATTATACACCTTTAGACACAAAGTTGTATCCATTTCGTTTTGTATGTTTTATACGATTCAGATAACAAAACCGCATAACATATTATTAGTCTTTATTATAACGCTGATTACTAGGAAAACCGTGATCTGTATAGTACTGTAATATTATATATTATTTTAAATTACAATATTCCTATCTCAGAGTATTGACATGTAAAGACTCTAAAATAAATACATAATATTATAACGAGTTCAACAAAGTGAAGAGGGTTAATCGATAAGTATTAATATTTAATACGCTATAATAACTACACGTTTAATATTATGATTTCAGTATTTCACAATAGTATAGCTTTAGTTATCTACAAATATAACTCAATCATTCAACCTACAGCTCATATATTGTCTATAAAAAAAAAAAAAAAAAAATGACAGGAGACATATTACACTTCGCACTGTGTCAATAGTGGAAAAGAAATACGATTATAAGCGAAGTTCGGTTAAATGTACAAGTATTGATAAAAACGTAAATTTGAAAATTCAAAATTATATTAAGCACATACTTCCCGTATTTTATTTTCTTAATCCACATAAATTCTCCACCAAATTTCCACCCACAAAAATTGGAAAAGAGTACGCAAAACAAGGGCGTCTTTAGTTCAATTCAATTGTTTTTGTAGTAAGGACTCATTGATATTTTATGATAAAAACATGCTCGGAAACAGATCAGAAATATGAAACTTCATATGGCCTCCTTACAGATACTCTCTCTCCGACACGAAAGTCCGTGGTTTTTATGATTTTCCATCAAAATTTTAACTTTGAATGGTCAATCTAAATACGAAAAACTTTATTTTTTTGTATCATTTTAAGTAGAACTTGTAATACCTTGTGTGTCAAATTTCGAGAATGAACATTTGCCGACCAAAACAATTTAATTCACATACCTATAAAACCAAATAAAAAACAAATTTACTTCCACAAATCGGAAAACCCGTTAACACGTATACGCCTGAAGTATTATGATGGTCAGTAGCGCCGAATTCGGTGTACAGGTCGGGAGACTGTCCGGCCAATTTTTTTGTTGGTGGGTGGTGACAGTGTGATGAAAATTAATGTACATATTATGAGTACTTGTTGAAAATATAACTATAAAATAGGATAATGGGGACAGGTGCAACTACTGTTGTTGGTGAGAAGAAGGGAAGGTAGGATATAGAGAATAAATTAATTGTATCATAAGTAACGATAAACCATTGCTTTCTAAAAACGATTCTGAGCGGAATTCAGTTGATAGTGATGACTTGTCAATAATATATATATCATATTATGGTAAAATAATTAAATAAGCATTGTACAGTTTTTTAAATAATATTTGTTTAATATTTTACCGATTTTCCAGTTTTTCCCATGTTTTTCCCGGTTTTTCACATTTGCTGGAAAAACTCTTAGGGAGATCGAAAAATGACCTCCTTAAAGTACTTTCCCAGTCGGATTTCTTTTCAGAAAAAGGGTTATCATTGTAAATCGGAGCAAAATTGCTGGAAAAAAAATTTGTTCGTAGAAAAAAAGAAGGAGAATTTAATATTCTTCTGTGTAAAAGAATTACACAGAAGAATATTAAATTTTTCGGTTTAATCTAAACCGATTGTATAAATCTAAGTCGTAAAAAATAAAAAAACGTCTAAACTTGAGAAAAAAAATCCATTCGACTTCATATCTCATCGGGTTTATTGAACTGTACCTATATACCAATACACTATAAATTATTGAAATTACGATAAGAATAGTATTTAGTCTGTTACTCAAGAGTCTAGACAAAATAATGTTCGACGCATATAAGTGTTTAGGATATTATAATAATATTACTACAACCATACGATATTTATCGTAAATATAAACAGCAAAAACGTAAAAAAAAAAAATGATTTCAGATTTCAACGATTTCGTTAACATTTTATACAATTGTGTGACGATTGTTATTCAATAAATAAGATTTAATATGTTGAAAGCGGGAAATAAAAAAGGTCGGATACAGTGGCGAAGCCATAGGGGGTTAGTGGGCCATGCCTCCCCCCATATTGACCGTACCAACACATTTACGAACAAACCTATAGAGTTGATTAATGCGTTTGAAAATATGCTACTCATTAATGCTCTTCAAACTTATTAATTTATTTGAAAGAAAATTTATTTTAATCAGTTTTTATCCAAATTACCTAATGTGAAATTGTTACTTCAATTATTTGCAACATTACCGATAACATCAACCATACCAAAACGCATATTTTTTATTCTAAAATGATTGAAGAATTATTTACGATCAATTATGAATGAAAAGACAATTAATTCGTTAGCTATGACACAGATAAACAAATCAGAAAAAATCACAGGAGTTATACAAGTGTTTTCTTCAAAATCACATTAACGTTTGTTATTGTTATATTGGTCAAAATTAATATTAATAAAATAAAATATTTATTGGTTTTAGACAGATGTTTATTATTTTTTTTTTAATTTAAAACTTAATTTTGTAAAATTAATAGTAATATTAATTCATAATATATTATACATGATTAAAATTGATTAAACATAGATGACCAAGCTGTTGCAATGTATATCTCGCACAATAATAGTTGATCATTTAAGCACGTTGTATAACTCTTCATAAACTCTGGTGGTTATGTGCAGGGAATTTAAATGAATTCNTTCTCATGGAATAGACTAGTCAGAATGAAGAACTTATCAGACAGTCAGTTTTATTTTGTAAATAATATATTTTAGATTTTGAGTGCAGTGAGGAATGTATTGGTTTTACAATGATAATTATTTTTTCCCTTATGTGAACGTTTTTTCTACCAGAAAGCATACACCGATTATCAAGTATAGCTCCTTTTCTGGAAGAAAATGTTCTCTGGGTGGTACTTTAGAGAAATCATTTTTTGAAATTCTCATTGATATTTGAGATAATGAGGAAAACCTGGTTCTTTAGGTTAAAAAAAAAATAGAAATATTAAAAATAAGTTTGCCATTGGCAACCGGTTTTATTTATTTTTTGTTATTAAGTTTTTATTATTTTAATAAATCTTTTTAAACGATTATTGTTATCATAGAAACGCAAATTGTTGTGATAATTTAACCATAATATGACATATATATTGTTGACAGAAACACTATCAACTGAACTCCGCTCAGAATCGTTTTTTCGTTAGCAATGGTTTATCGTTGCTTACAGATATACATTAAATTCCCGTCTGTATCCTATCTTCTCAACGTCTTACCAACAACAGTAGCTGCACCCACGTTCGAAGTATGTCTGTCCATTTTTTTTAATATTTATTTAAATTTTTAAAGTTATAAAACAATATGATTGTTAACCGTTGAGTATATTTTTAAATATATTCGGCTTTGCCCACCCTCCATTTCAAAATTCTGGCTATGCCACTGGTCAGATACATTAAGTTAATTTAAATCTGTACGCAGCGTTCTGTTTGAATGAAAAAACCTCGAAAATGTTAAATGCCCATAGAACACAAAAATCAGGATTATTGAAGGTTTTATTTCGTTTAAAAATGGCTAATATAGATATTCTGTGAAAATATTGGGACTCTTCGATTATTTTTAACTGAATTATATAAAAAAAAAAAAATCAATTCTAAAATTAATGAAACCGTTAATGCCGAAAACCTTAACGTTTTTCCTACGTTTTGCTAGATTTTTCCCGATTATCAAGAAGACCAAAATATGACCACCCCAATTCACCCACTAGATCCAAATAAGTGTTACGAATAAACTCTCTTGTCGTTTTTTGATTAGAACAAAATATCTAATATTCTGATATAAATGTTGTACACAGAAACGAAAATTACATCAAGTAAACATCATAATAAAACGAGACATTTTTACAAGTCGGAAAAGTGCAATGCAGGAGAACAAGGTCCGAAAAAAATATGTTATGGAAAATGAGTGAAACAAAAAGTCCGACGATGACAAAAAAAACAGATCTCTTTATCGATGACAGCAAGTAACTGCGAATCTCATAACTACAATATAATAATAACTCTTGGTTTAAGAGGACACGATTAACATTTTGGCGCTTATTGGTGGACATTTATTAGGAAGAGTTTAAATACGGGTAACACAATTTAAAGTGAATAATATTGTCGAAGGCATTACGCTGAATTTTTTTCTGAAATATCATCAAACAAAAGTTCCTAAGTTTTTGTTTTCGCGTAATTTTAGAAAAAAAGCAACATATACATTGCATAGTTCTTTCGAAAAATGCACCTTTTAAAATTGTATTATTCTTGTTTAAACTCTATAATTATTTCAATCTAAACGCAACAATAAAAATAATTTAATTTAATTTCTTGTTATTAAGAGCATCTCATACTCGCAACAGTAGACCGAGACAGAAATTTAGGTAAAAATTAGAGTTTGAACATAAATAACAAAATTTAAAAAGGACGCAGTTTTTGTCCAAACAATTATCAAAAAAAAAATTGCAGTTATTAAAAAACAAAACAAAAATATACATGGTTATTTAAAATTTTTAAATCTATTTGAATTTTGTTGATTACATTGTGTTTTAACAATAATTATTTCAACCTGACTGCCCGCCAAAATAGTTAATAATATTATTCACGTAATTTTGCTGTGTCGTGCCCGTTGGACGGACCTAGATAGTAAATGCGACCTGTGTCGTGTCCTCTTCTTATTTATAGGCAACATATTTTTATTTTCTAACAACAATACGTACCTGCCAACCAGCATATTAATACCACACGCCTATATTGTACTGAAATCTGAAATATTATTAATTACACTTGAAAGACTGTTGTTGACAAAACATCAACGCACCTAGCTGTTAAAAACGTGTGTTTTTAGAACGGTATGTTTGTTCGTGGTGTACCAACATGTAATAATAACTGAGTTATCGCCGAACACTTGTGAGAATTCAAACTCAAACGCACTAGGTACATAAGAAAATCGTTATAAAATGACGCAATCGTAATATTATGTGAATATCGTATTGATAATCAAATGTCAATTACAAATCACGTCGATAATATTGTATTCCGACTTCTGAGTATCATAAATTTATCGCACTAAACAAACGATGGATTATTATTTTTTTTTTTAATCACACTTTTTGTCCCATATCGACCAGGATTTATTTTCGGAGAGAGGGTAGGAGGACAATGAGTGTTTATTCCGTAATTTAATAATTCTTGAAATTATATATTTTAGCCACGTTACAAAAAAAAGCTCGATTTATTGAATAAAAATTGCCTTTTTTGAATCAGACTTTTAAATTCTCTTTGTCAGGTTCGGTACAACTGCATCATAAGATTCTACGATTTGTTCATGAATCATGAATTTTATTTACTACAGTTCTTCCCATATTTATGATATCACTAGGCATGCCAAGTGGTGTGGAAATAATGTGGGGCAATTTTACAACATTTTATCATTAGATTGACTCTGCCCGAAAAACATTTTTTTAAAAATCAAAAGTTATATTATTCTTAGAAAAGTATTATTGTAAATCATTTATTTTCTAAACAATGCCTAATAAATTTGAATTAATTATGAATAGGTATTATGTAATATAAATATATTAAACAACATAATCTAATAATGATAATAATTATAATTTGGATCAATAATTTATAATTAAGAGGACTTGGATCCGCCGTCTCTATCTATATAATCATACGAACAATATTGAACAAAATTGTGTTTTCGTAACTCCAATAGAAAGTACTCTGGCCTCGTTAATCATACAAACTTGAGTTTTCGTTCCATAAACATTTTGCTCAACTTCTCATGTTTATAGTTTATCACTAAAATTAAATTTATACGACCAACGAGACCTGTAAAGTTACTACTAGGTATACGAAAACACATTGCCCCGGTCTTACAAACGCACAAACTTACATATTACGAATTTTCGTTCAGTTTAGGACAGAATAGTTTAATCGATATATTAATTTTTAGTTTAAGCATTGTAGTCTCTCTTAAAAATTGAAACTCAAAAAAACACTAACAACGCAATACAATAGTTACCGACGAAAAACAAGCAACTCTTAAACGTTAAAAAAAATGAGTCGCTTATGATCGAACTTAATCATTGGTGGATTTTATTCACCATTTATTATTTTGTCAAGTCTGTGATGGGTTTAGAATTTTACCCTACCCATTAACACAATAGTATTTATGCTCTTCACTATGTTTATAAATTATGAAAATTGTTAGGGGGGGATTATTATTATTATTAGTAATATGAATTTACCACTGTATATTTACCAGTATAAATCTGACAATATTTTATAAAATTGGTTTATAGATGATTTTGGTACGAAAATGAAATTATCTTAGGTCAATTATTAAGGTCAATATAGTTTCTGTAGCAATTATATAATAGGAATCTACAAACGAATTCAGAAAAACTACTAGAGCCATTTACACGAATTTTATACGGTAAAACGTCGTCGTGTTCTTTGCAGTTTCACATAATGCCTGATAACTAGGGTTAAGGCTTCTAGTATTTGCATATTATTTTTGAAAGATTAAAAAAATACCAGAGTTAAACATAAATGCAGTTTATTGTGTAAAAAATCTAAATCCTAAATGTTATTTTGTATATATTTACGTATTTTACAGTTTTTGATTTTTAGAACATATTTTGGCGGTATATGAGCTCTTAAGTGGTATATAAGAAACATACACTCATATCTTATCTTATTGTATGGCACGTATTATAAACGCTTTTTTTAGATTTACATTGTTCATTCATAGGTACTGATGTGGGATAGCATAGCCGAATAAATTATCATAAAATAGTTAGTTTAGTTAACAAATTAAAAATTAATTAAAAAACAACCATTAAATTAGATTAATAACTCTCAAATTATTAACCTCAAAACAAAATTTTTGCCTAAATACCAATAATAATAATAATTAAGTTTTTAGAAAATAATTGCAATAAAAAAAAAATAAACATTGTTTAGAGCATATTTTAATGCATATTTAGTTATTTTCTAAAGTCTATTTGTATGTATACCTGCATGTTTTTTTTTAGAACTAGAAGTCCCTATAGAATTACTGATAAGTTATTAATGATAATTAATAAAGTTTTTTAATTACACACGACCAGTATTTCGTACATTTTCCCGTTTTTTTCGATTTTTCAAATTTGATAAGAAAACTTCGGAGAAAATCGAAAAGTAACCTCCCTAAAGTACATTCCCAAAAAATTTTCTTTCGGAAAAGTTGCTACATCGGAGCAAGATCACTGGTAAAAAAGTTGTCCACAGATAAAACAGATGTAAAAATATAAGCTTCTTTGCTCCACTCAGAATCTAAAATGAAAGTTATATATAATTTATAATAGGATCATAGACAAATTTGTATCCTTTATTTAATATATGTCAATATAGTATAGGACTCAACAAATTTAAAATCACCCCTCCCCCCTTGATGTTTTATCAAAATCGCTACTGTACAATGTTAATTTTAAAACGGTTAGTAAGAAACTGAAATAAATTAACTGAAAAAGAAAAATATTCGAAAAGTATTCAATTAGGTACTGTTTGAAATGTTCGAATATATTTTATTTTATTTATTTAACTAACTACATACAGGTATAATAGCACAGCGTACAGATGCGTTTACAAAAAAATATTGGGGGGAGGTGATTAAGGATACACGCTTTCATACCCTTATAACAAAGAAGTTTACATACTTTCAATTGGAATATTATTTATTTTTCATTAAAAATGTCAATATTTTATAACATTCATATTTAGCCTTTTAGGTACCTAATACTAAATATTATATTTAATTATGGTTTTAGTGATAAATGATAACGCGTAATTTACATTATTGTGATCATGATGTGGACTATACAAGCGGACTACAACCGTATCAGCTATAATTTTCTAAAAGCTAGAAAACCACAAAAAATTAGAAATGACTAAATTAATAATATATACCTACGTCCTACATATCTTGTAATAAAATTAAAATAACACCAAAATTGTATTTACCTTCCCATTGACCGAAACCACTTTGAAACTCTATTAAAAATCTACTTTAATCATAATTTTCATGCAATTTCGGGGGGGGGGTTGAATTGAACCCCTAAAACCCTCTCTTGTACACGCACCTAACAGCGGATACCTATTATTAAATCTGAACATTCAGGTTAATAGTGAGTGACAAGGATAGTAATCTTCTATATATACATATAAAAAGGAATGTCTGTCTGTATGTTCTTTATAGATTGAAAAACTACTGGGCCGATTTTAACGGCGTTTTTTGCAAAATAAGCCACGTGGTTTGGAGGTTTATTCGGAGAAGCTATTGAAATTTCTAAAATTCAACGTACCTATGGTATCTACTAAATATTGTTAGTTAATTTCATTGTACTTTTGATTACTGATCAACGCTCAAAAAATTTAAATTAATTTAATTTAATTTCAACGCCATTTCTGTGCAGTTATGCCTCCCAGAAAAAACGCGCGATCGTCGTCCTACGTCTGAAACACGAATTAAAAAGATAACACGAGATTCAGAAACAAACGAGCAACAAGATGCAAGATTGAAAACCGCTCGAGAACATAATGCTCGAGCCTGTGACGGATATGGTTTATTTAATATTTACCTATTACAATGTATTAAAAAATATTAAAATATGTCGGGTAATTCAGCTATAAAAAATAATAATAATACAAAAATCTAGCAAAGCATTGTCGGGACAGCTAGTATTATATATTCTGAATAATTTTGTTTAAACTTATTTGAATAATACATATTCTGAATACGAATTATCTATAATCTTTACATGATTCCACACGACGAATATTTTATTATTTTTGTTGTCATTATACTGTACATTATTCGAACAAAAAACGTCACGCGACGAAACTTATATATCTGTGATATATATTTCTACACATTCCGACATTTCGGAAAATCGGTCCAGTTTAACGCGATATTATTAAGGATAATAATAGTCGTCCCGCACGGATTTGAACGCGTTCACGGATTAAACAAAATGAAATAAAAACGTCTGTCCTTGTATTTCTCCGCGATTCAACTAAAGTTGAAACCCGTGGACGGGACCGTTGTCGCCCGGCATTTATTATTAATTTACTTCCTTGCCGTCGTCAGTGGTGTTCCCATAGGGCACGCTTCGTATACGCCGTGTACTCTTCAACGTTTTGTTGAAAAAAACCACGGGTGTACTGCGTATACCTTCAAATGGTTAAAAAAAACCCCGCCGTGATATTTTATATTATTATCAGTACCGCTGTTAACTTATGTCACTAAAACCGAAACAGTAATGAAAATTGCCGTATTTATTTCACAGTTTTCTTAAAATACATAGCGCTCTGTTTTTAGAAACGCCAAGTGTTTTGTAAGAGTAATCTCGATTTATATTTAGTATAAATATTTCCCCGTAAACAATACAGTCCACAAGTAAGACAAAGGATCGGGCGTTACGGTTTATTCTCAATAAAAAAATGAACGGGAACACTACACAACTACCTACTGCTTGCCGTGAATAGTTTACAGCAATTAATTAACGTTTAATTAGACGGCGGTTATCGCTAATCTTAAGAGCTACATTACACTGGTCCGATTTTCCGAATATTATTCGTTTCGAAAGACGTTACCTAATACCTACTTTACGGTTATTTTTGAGCCGTATGTAAACAAAATCGGTATCGCTTACCTCCTTAATATCAATCTAAACGTGGTGTCTTAAAGGTTCCGATAATTCCCAGTGGGTACTATAATAGAGTTTTGGTCCGATCCATTATTTCATCCGCATGTTAATTCGTTATTCCTTATTGTTTTAACGTAAACGCAATTATAATAAAATAAAGTAGTTAGTGTATGTACGCTGTAAACCGTTATTCGAAACTAAAACGTTAATAAGTATTACATTTTTTTTAAAAATAATAATTATTACGAATTTGTATAGAATGTCGACCGAGCGAACGAAACCGTAGCGTGGAACGCTGAAATAATATTATTCCGCGAAACGTGCGTGAAAAAAAAAAATAAAATAACGGATCCGAACATTTGTCGTCGGACATTGGATTTAGTTTGGGTTCGCACCGAACTCCAGAACGGAGTACCTATCTATAGCCCATAGGAGTTCGGTTTGGGTTCGGCGGTCGTGTTCCAAATGCCGTACGGCTACACAGAATCATGATAATATTATTACGGTATTTACGACCGCTCTCAACGACAATAATATTTATCTAACGCACCTACGTGTTAGCTACTAACGCGTGTACCCAGGCATACCTGCGTACCGATAAAAATGTACAACACAGTGGCGTGGCTAGATGGGAAAGGGCCCCGGGACAGTTAAAAAACTAGGCCCTCTACAATTCATATAATCTCTATGGAAATTCGAAGTATACCTGCAGGTAATAATGTTTTATTTAATGCCAAAACGTAAACATTGTATAGGTAACATGAAACCACAAAATGATAAATAAACAAAGTAAAAGGAAATCCAATGTACATTACACTTTGCTATGCCATACAAATATACCATACTATCGGTACGGATACTATACCGTTTGGCGAACACCGTTCATTACGTATTCTGCATTATTATTATATTTATCAAATACAGGTTGTGACTGAAATTACCACGTAGGATTTAAAACATTCGTTATTAAGTACATTCAAATTTGCAATTATTTTCAGGAAGTAATTTGCAGAATATCGTCCGAGGCTCCCCCCGAGCTCCGCGGCCCCGGGGCACTGTCCCACTTTGTCCTGTGATAGCTACGCCACCGGTGCAATATTTTGATATTATTACCGACCTTGAGGTTGTTTATTTCGTTCAGACAGTCCTGGACGGTGGCGGCGGTCTTCCAGACGTCGTCGTCGTCGTCGTCGCCGTCGCCGTCGCCGCATCCGCCGAAATGGACGATTTTCAGCGCGATGTACTTGCGGTCCGGTTCCACCAGCGCCCTGTAAACCGTGCTGAACGCGCCCTTGCCCAGCACCCGGTCCAACACTACCCGCCTGCTGCTGCCGCTTCTGCTACGGCCGTACGCGCAGTCCACGACAATGGCCATGACCGAAAACAACAACGACAATGACAATATTAACGGACGCCCACGGTGACGGCGAGCGGAGGAAGTGGCGCGGTTATTGTCGGCCGCGGCAGTCGCCCAGCGATTGTCGTCAGGCCCGTCCGAGTCCAGCGCGCACACGCAAATGATTCACGAACCGCTCGCTGTCGGCTGGAACGCGACCGCGGCCGCCGCGCCGTACCGCACGGTGCAAACGGCGCGCGATAAAATAATCATAATAATATTAAACGCGCGCGCACTCCGTAGGTAATAATAACAAACAATAACAACAATAATAATATAATACATTCTGATCGTTATTGTACAATTTTCTGCAATAATGATAATATTATTATTATAATCCGCATCAGGAGTGTGCCGCTTTAATTGGAAATATCGTCTATTGATAATATTATTATTATTATTATAAGTGGTAATCGCCGACGACGCAGATAATAAAAATGTATTACCTATAAGCCGCGATAAATCTACCCGGTATTTCGATCAACCCCCCACCCCCCGCCACCACTCGCGGCAAAACAAGAGATTGTTACATACGACGCATACATGTATACGCAATTTGAGAATATTTTCAACGGTGTAAATGGTTTTTGATTCGGTTTGGTCAGTGGTCTCAAAACTAAATTATCAATTAGTTTGAAATTCAGTTAAAAATATTCGTATCGGCTGTATGGACTAAAAATTTAGACAAAAATATTATATTTAACTTTTCTAGACGTGGTAAAATTTTCAAAAAATTTAAGCCATTTTTGTGCTTTTTATAGACATTGCGAGTTTTGTACGTAATTTTTATTCGGTAGGTATTCTATGGATAAAATTGTTAGACTAAACAGAAATACTTGAGAATTTAATATGAGGTTTATTGAAAGTTGTACTTTGTGGAAAAATTTATGTTGAGCAGAGACTAACTGGTTTATCACTTTTAAATATTCATCTAAATGAAAACATTAATATAGAAAATATTATTGATCAAACCGCTTGCAAAACGATGCTTAAAATAAAAGTATTTTGGACTTGATCATTTAACTTTTCTTAATTATTATTATTATTATTATTTTTGTTATTCATTTTATCAATGTTTTAATTATTATTTATTTAATGTGAAAAAAATTAATTTAACTTTTAAATTGTACTATTTTACTGCATTTGTACAGCATATCTGCAGTCTTCTGAATTAATATATATAAGTTGAAATTACATCAGACATAAAGGTTTTAAGTTTTTGTTGACCTAAGCGGTGATATTTAAGAGTAAAAGTTTGTTCAAATTATGTATTAGCGAACTGTGCTCAGAATCGTCTTTCGTCAAGCAGTGGTTTATCATTGCTTACAAATATAAATGAAATAACCTTATGTATTCTACCTTCCCAACTTCTCACCTACAACAGTGGCCGCTCCCGTCCCCAGTAACAGTTCTTTTTTTTAAATTAACTATGTCATATAAAAATTTTAAATTATCGCAGTGGTTATGCATTCGTAGTAATATTTTTTCGAGAAAATTGATTGCTACGCCTAATATATAAATGTACAGGTAGCTTAACATTAAATTAAATTTTTAAATCAATTACGGGTTTATCAGGTAAGTATCGTTAAGTACCGCGGTAAACGAAATATTATTATATATTTTTTTTTGTATTTGTTGAACAATGAACATACATTTCTGTATACTAGATAATAATGTATAATAATTAAATCAATTTTGGTCATTCGAAATTTGCCACCCCTACTGGAGATATATGTACCTCGCTACTTAAATTATACCTATATATTAGGTACCTACTTACCTATTTGGTATAGTTTTAAATTGAAAATGCCTAGGTATCTATCATTATTTTAATTTTGTTACAGAGAATTATTGAAAATAGTTAATTATATAGTAGATTATTATAATAATATAATATTATGTAATTAGATTAGTGTGCATTAAAATATATGTTACGTTCCAGCTTATTTTAGGATGTATTTACATTAAATGTGAAATAGCCCAGACAAAAATATAAGTGACAATTAATAACAATTCTTTTTTTTATTTTATAATTCATAAATTTTGCAAAATCTTTAGATCTAAGTGCAAAATATACTACAGATTATCAATATGAAGTTAACAAAACGCGAAATTTAATGATAAATTTTGATAAAACTATTTCGGAGTAATGTTACGGTGATGAAATGCAACTGCTATGAAAGTCGATTGCTACGCAAATGTAACAATTGACTTTCATAGCAATGGTGTCCTCCCGGCTAGGTCATTACATATTAGTAATACTAAACTAGAGTAATATTATCTCTTATGGGATACGTTTCCCGCGTTATCTAACATATTGGTATAGGCAATGACGTATTTCCGAGATCCCCCCCCCCCGTCCTTAGAAGAAAAAATTTGGTTCAAAAGCCATAAATGACTTGCTACGAAGGTATAGAAAAAGGTAACATTAATTTATACAGAGTGATTTTTTTTTATCATGAACTGGTAATTATATCGGAAGATTTTAAGTGAATTTCGTTTCTACTATTTTTAATCTTCGTAGAATCGTTTAAGTTTTATTTTAAAATCTTTTTTTAATTTTTACCCTTTCTTTATATATCTTCAATAAGAATATACTTTTGGTTTTTAAATAGGAACCCCATTTTTGAACACACATTGAAATAGAGTATATTTTTCTAAAAATGTTGATATGTGTTATACTAATATCAGATTTACAGTTACAACTGTTTAAAGTTTAGACNAAATAAAACATAAACGATTCCACAAAGATTAAAAAAAATATAAATCAAATTCACTAAAATTAGTGCATTTGAAAATAATTGTATAATTATTGGTACTTACTTTAAAAAATAAAATGTTTGACAATCTAGGTGAATTTATATTTATTCTTTTTGTTTGGTAATATGCAATACTATAATATTATAATATTATAATATTCCTAGATCTCTCAAAAAAATAAAATTTATTTATATCAATAAAATATTTGATTATATAATAATGATGATTTTTATGTGAAAAACTGTATGATTGTGGTTACAATGTGATTTTTATTATAGATATATCTTTAAATCTTGTGATTTGTACAATGATTGTTGTATGGGTAGATTGCGAATTGTATAATGTAACTTGTACAATCTAGTTACTTTGTACAGCAACGTTGTATAATTGGTAATGTGTAAAGCGATTTTTGTACACATTGCGGAATGCATAATTCCGGACTTGGATGTAACATATATAATATACAAAAATATAAATATAAATTTATATTGATTTAAATCATAAAATGAAAATATTTATAGAATTTATGCTTACTAAAAATCGTATTGACGATTATATCATAACTATCATATCTTTACTACACCATAAAATTGTAAAACAAATGTATAAAAACACAAAATTCTAATAGCATGCAATGTACTGAACAATTTTTAAATTTTAATAAATTAAACAAAAAATAGATCTCACGGCCCGAATCTAAATTATTCATAATATAATACTACCTATCTATCAGTGTTACCTAACGATATTAATAATTCCATACAAATTCGTGGGTATTTTCTTAATAATTTCGATATCGATATCTAAAAATAATTATTGATATCGTGATGATTGATCGAGGTTCGGAACAATAAAGTAGACAGACGGATAAAACTGAACTGAAAAGACTTATCGTGATTTTTACTATTCTGCGGTCGCCCGCGCGCACGCGTTACCCCGCATACAATGTGTCCACAATCGGTTGCAGATGTCTAGACAAAAGATTTTACGAAATATAATCGTCGGCGACGACGAACCTATCGGTCAGAGAGCTATAACTTCCAACCCGCCTATCAACTCTCCGTTTCAACCAAATATTATCTATACAACAAAATAATAAATATCACATAATCGTCGAGCGATTTCTTATACATAGATTTTTGTCAACGAATATACATAAAGACACTATAATAATTATGCTGTATGCGTGATCAATGTGTCATACGATGTATCGATACGTAGTATTCAAAACGGTGATACAAAATATTGTTATCGAAGCCCATGTATTATTCGCATGAAAAATACACTGGTTGGTACTATTATTATCGACGAAAATACTATTTCAGGGCGCGATCGTAGGTGTGTATGTGTGTATGCGGTTAGACTGAACGGTGGATATGTGTACGTATTTGTATGCACGTATGGATGTGTGTGTGTGTATGTGCGCGCATAATTAACAATCGTGTTGTCATCGTTAGTGTACCCGTTGGTCGATGATAGCAATGGTTATAACAATTGTATTGTCGTTGACAAAATTCTAACTTGACAGGAAGACGACGACGATTATTTAATATCTATGAAAATACGTATAATATTTTCGTGTAAGTACTTATAATTACGATGTAGACGAATAGGGTGTACGGAATAGTGTTTAGGTTATAGGTTTAGGTTTAGGTTATACGACGGGTATGGTAACATTAGCTTTTGCAGGAATGTACAGATCGTCGATGACGCTAATAACCATTTCGTTTTTGTAATAATGTGCATAATAATGTTTTGTTGTATAGATAATATTTAGCAGTGGGTATGGATAGCAGTGTCGGCGAGGTAAAGCGAGCGCTCGCGCGCCCGGAGACGAAAAATATCATAATACTTATAAGACAATAATCGCAGGTATATGATAGTGAAATAGGTATAGATAAGTCGAGTAAGTATTCGATAATATAGACAAATATTTGGATAAAGATAGCGTGATCAAAATAGGCCGAGCGCATGGTGCATGTAGAAAAAAATTTGAAAAAAAAATATTTTTAGAAAAAAGGGGTGGGGGGGAAATATAGGTCTTCTAAGTAGTCGATGATAATGTTTCGGAAAAAAAATAAAATAAATATATTTAGAAAAGTGAGCGTGGCTAAATATGTCGATGAAGAGATGGACGAAAAAATAGTTGCATCTACTCGTAGATCCCTTGCACTTTGCACTTGCACCTGGTGTTGAACTCTCTAAATTATACTACTTACAATCGTTAATGATAGATAGCAATGACGATGAGGAAGAAGATTATTCAGTAACTTCAAAACTTGCGATCATACAACTTGAAGAGTACAGAAATTTGAAAATCAAAATTCCCTATGATCAAGATCCTTTTAATTGGTGGAAAGAAATGAAACTAAATACTCAGCTGTATCATTACTAGCCAAAATTACTCAAGTATAGTGGCAACTAGGTTTTTGTGAACGGTTATTCAGCGAATCTGGAACAATCATCTCCAAAAAAAGAAATAGGTTATCTCCTGAACGAGTCAATCAATCGTTATTTCTGAATTCATATCTCAAATCGAAAATCTCAGTTCCGAAACATTAATGGAAAAACTGCTTGAAGAAGAAAATTTTCGAACTGAAAAATACATATATCTATTATTTCTAATATTTTCAATTACGTTATATAATTAAATTTATATTTTACATGCTTTTAAGCTAATACAAAATAATTACATAATAATAAATATTAAATAATAATACATAATAATAAGTTATTAATAATTATTAATTAATATATTTAATTTAAAATATATGTCAATCGATATCAATATTTTTTCAATATCGTGATGAAATATCGGAAAAATAAAAACGTTATCGATAATTAAAAATATATCGTTGCCCAATATTACTATACTATACTATAATATATACTTATGTAATAATGATGAAAAATTGTTCAAAAAATATTTTACGGATATTTAAAGACAATGAATTGGTTTATGAAATTATTGTACACCGATTTACACAATAATTAAAAAGTAAAATACTTTATTTTAGTGAAATTACTGTTTTTAACACGACAGATTGGGATTTTAAATCTCATATTACATCGAGTAGAATAACTGTTGAGGTGTGTATATAAGTGTTGTAAGGTAAACTTAAATGTAGTGTACAAAATATATATTTTTCAGTTGTTCATTACTATAAGTACGTTTTACCTTCCTAAATATTCATATTATTTGCACATCATTAATTTATACCAATAAAGTGTAAATTTAATTGTATGTATACTGAAGATTAAGATTCTTCATTTAGGACAATTACTTTATTCTTCATTAAAATTACCAATTTAAAAACAAATATTAATATTCAACTGGTATTTGGCTAATTATAAGACCCATCGGTGCAGGCACGACGTTTAAGGGGTCATAGGGACTATAGTCCCCCCCTAGATATCAAACTACCTATAAATAATAATTTTTTTTAGAAATCTGTATAGAAGTTCAGAATGTTAATAAATTATAATCACGGCCTCTGCAGATAGTTATCACATTAACTGGTCAGGGGTCACAATGACTGGCTGACATCATTTTTGGACTGAAATGATATTACCCCCCCCCCCTCTAGTAGACAAACCAAATTGACAACTGCATTGGTTAGTATACGTTGTAGTAAAATACGGTTTTTGGAGCAGTATATTAATGTAATATTTGATTTTTAATTTGTATAAATATTTGTTTGATAATTCTAAAGAAGTATTTTTTTTCCTAAATAATTTATTGCGGTATTTGATAGATGTAATAACACCTTGGGTAATCCAAGGATTTTTACATTTTTTTAAAAAACTATATTTAAAATGTCTATGATTATTGTTACTATTTAATGGTAATAAAATATTACATATCCACAATATTGTGATGGATGGATTACGATGGATTTCCATCCATAGTTGTGAGATCATTGGTCAGTTCTTGTTGGAACATTCTTCCCCCCAAAAAGTTGTCATGTTTTAGTGTCAATTCACTATTTTATGACAAATATCTGAAAGAGTGCCGGCGTGATGATCAACGGTTTTTGTAATACCTATGCCACCAACAAGTGTAAAATGTGTTATGCTTGTTGGTTGTGTTAAATATCCGTACGTACGGAAAAAAATATAATACATATACGACTGACAATAACCACAATAAACTTTGATTTGACTGATCTATATATTATTTCTGGTTAAAATTATTATTGTAGAATATACTGTGGTAAAATATTTATATTTCAACCATAAATATTTGTAATATATACCTATATTAGTTAATTTCAAAGGGAAAGAAGTTTATAGAAATAATATGCAAAATATTATGGGAGGACTTTGGTTGTGTTTTAATATGTTTTTATTAATTTTAATGAATTATTCAATAGTCATTTTATTATTTTTGTTAACATATCTTTTAATTGCACCATCTGGGTTTTTATAACCCAAAAGAGTAACCACCTCTCTCGCGTTATACCAAATTTCACCTTCCTTATCTACAATTCTTGTTGGCAAATTTTCATTTGTTCTGGCTTTTATTTGATTTTTATCTAACATTTTATTTATTATAAAAATATGAATTCTTTAACCGTATTCAAATTTCTTTTTTTCTATCCACATTTGATTATTACATTTATTCCGAATTATTGTCACTTTCCTATAAACGGAAAAGATAAGAACGTGCTGGAGTGTCACTCTATATCTACTCTATAAACGAAAATCGTATATGTTAAGGAGTGAACGTTGTTAAGATTATTGTTTTAACCTTGTGTGACGGTAGGGAAAATTGATTACAAATTAAATTCAAAATCTAAATCAAATATTAAGTCTTAGTTCTACTATAAATATTTAAAGAAAAAAGAAGTAATAAAATTTATCTAAAAAGAAAGAAATAGTATTGGTTAGTTATAATTAAAACATTTGTTAAATGAAATCAAATATTTTTTATATCCATTTTAGAATAAATCAAAAAATAATTAGGATCTGTATTAATGTCTTGGACATCCATTTTTGATAATTTTGCAAGTTTATCCGGTAAAATTAATTTAAATTGATTATCTAATGTAACAGAGAGTTTTTCACTATTTTTAGTTTTAATAAATTCGAAAGAAGATGCTCGGTATTTTTTTTTTATTTCCATTTTACAATATTTTACAATATTTTACAAAATTTAAATTGATTTCAGTTTTATTCAAAAGTGTTTTAAGGTTTTCCATTTTATTTATGAAAAATAAATATTTTATCTAAAATGTAATTTTTTGATGATGTACTCAATGTTATTTAGCCGCACAAGAACAAAAATATTAATTTAAAATTTTTAATTTGTGTAATTTTTTAACGCTTATTTTTTACTAATCAAATACTAAGTTTTATTTTTTAGCCAAAAACAATTATAACAGAGTTCGACACCCAACGAAACAAATCTGGATTTTGTACGAGATAGAAGTTACCTGTAATAAAATTCTATACATTTAATTTATTTATACATACAAAATAATTTCCTTACGTTATATTATTGGGCTGCATATGCCTAAGAATATTTGTCAAAACATTTTTTATTTTTTAAATTTTACAATAGTATATATTAACTTTTGCTCAAATACTAAGTTATTTTTCAGCTAAAAAACAACTAAGAGGAAGTGGATTTTGTTCTAGAATTACCTTCAATTAAATCTCATAAACTAAATTTTTAATAATATTACATTATTAGAATTATCAACTTATAACACGATAAAAAAATAATATTACTAGTCTGGGTAATAATTAGAACAAAAAACACATGTATCCTCTTGTTTTTGGTAAGCATTGTTTTAAACTTATCTAATTTAATTTTAATTTTAGTATTTAAATGTATATCTGTCTTTTTCATTCAATTTTCCATCCAAAAAGTTGATATGGAAAGACCCTCCATATTTTCTAAAGTGAATACATATTTAGTTTCCTCATGCCATTTTGTTGTTGTTATTATGTCAATTATACATTTTTTGTCTTCCCTAAATATCTCTAAACGTTTGCGATCATTAACTTTAATTTCCTCTAGAATTTTTCCCTTCTTATTAGACTCTATTATTTCTTCATTTTCTGCTAAAACTCTGATATATTTTAAATAATTATCTTTGTGAACCATAACCTCCTTATGATGATTTAATTTACAAATTTTAGGAAAACTGTTTCCTTTATAACTTTCTAATCCATTTGCTTCTAGAGATATTATAGGTTCTTTCAGGGATAAGATAAGAATTTATAATTTATTGTCTTTAGTTCCGTAAGAATACAAAACCCATTTTTTTCCAATTTTTATTTGTTCTTATAGGCATCAATAAATATATTTTTACATATTCCCTTAATATACCTAACAGAAAATGTTTTATTTTCTTCTACCAAGGCACCAACATTGGTATATTTTCTGTTAACTACCAATGCATATATTTCATAATTATTTTTAATATCCAATGCTCCCAATTGTGCCTTAAAATAACTTATAAGTGTACTTTGGGTAATATAATTGTTTATAGTTGCCTCCAATCTAGTAATACCATTCTCTTGTACTAACACACCTTCAAAAGGTTTTAATCTTTTATCTGGACAGTTAACAAAATTTACTATGTGATTTCCAAGTTGTTTACTTACCTCAGGACTTGTCATTTGGCAAACAAATTTTTTATCCATTTTTAAACTAGAATTATTATCACCAAGTCAAAATAATCTTTTCTTACTATTTTATTGTTATCCATAATACAATTACTAGATCTTTTAGTACTATCTTTTTTCTGTAATTTAAAGTCATATTTACTATTTAAATATGTTCTTTTCTTAAATCATTTAAAATGTCTGGTAACTTTTCCAAAAGTGTCTTTATTTCTAAGTCTGCCAACTAAACTTTTTAAGGTATAAGCAATAGGATTCTTATATTTTTTATTTATAGCATCTAAATCTGATTTTACAATTTGTTTATACTCAAAACTGTATTATTATTAACACTTAGTAAATATGAAGTTTTTCCTTCACTTCATGTCTTGCTAAATTCAAAAAAAACTAAAACAAGCTCTTAAAATACTGTTAAAACCCCTAAAATCTTTTTGTCAACTAAAAACTTTTTATTTGAATCCTTTCTTACAAGTTTTAAAATCCTCTATCTTTACAAAAATAATATTATCGCAGAAGGATTCTGTTATCTTATTAAATCCTTTTAATTTCAGTTCATCTTCTGTATAAATAATATCTCCAATATCAATAATCAAATTATTGTTTCTAACATTTTCATTTAAAACCCAAAACATTAATTTCTCACTGGTTGATTTATCTCTATTTCCAAGTAATTCTCTAACAGAATATTTTTTATCTATATTGGTAGTTTAGTCTGTTTATTTATAAGAACTTTTAAAAATAATTTAAATTTCTTTTTGTAAATTTCTACAACATCCAATAACATAATAGATTTGTAGAAGAAGATTAATTAATGTTTTAATTGAATTAAATGATTAGTTAATGTTTTGATATTAACTAATATTTTTGTTTCACAAGTTTTACTAGGCTACAACTCAAGTTTTCTAGCAGCCCAAATTTATAAAACTGGTTTCCACAGAACTTCATGGTCAGTACAACACTTTCTAGATAAATTTCAAAATCTATGGCATCAAGACTTTCCAAAGTTTTCAAATTCTATGACATTAACAGAAAAACTCTTCATTTCTGATTGTTAAACTTAAGATGAAATTCATTAATTATTGTTAACTTTAAAAATAAGCCAATTTTTTGTAAGAGGTAGTTAAAACCTTGGAAGCCTGAGTGATGTAACAACCTTTTCTTACCTATATGAATGGAGATTAGAAATTAATTTTTTTTAAATGCTATTAAATTAAATTTTCTAAAAATTATTTTTAAATATGTATGTGAACAAAAAACAAAAAAGAAAACAATGTGAATGGAGATCAAAAATCAATTTTTTAAAGTGAAAATATAATTTTGCTACTACTAGTACAAATCTATCTTATTAAATAATAATAGTTATGTATATCATCTATTAATATTAACATCATATATATATATATATATATATATATATATTAAACATTATAGTTTATGGACAAATTGGTAATAGATTTAATATTGCTTATACTAGTCATGGTATAATTACAAATTGTTTACTTGAAATAAAGAATATCTTCAATCAATTTATTAAATGGCCAATAGGGCAAACTGGAGAAGAAACAGTAAATAAATGTAATATGCTAAGGGATAATAATTTTTTTCCTAATGTATTAGGGGCAATTGGTGGTTAATATATTAACATAATTGCACCCTGGAGAAAAAGAAAATCAATGCCAAAATAAGACATAAATATATTTTACAATCACAAGAAAGTTCCAACTATAATATTCCAAGTGAATATCAATGATGATAAAATTCAATAGTCTATTTTAGGGAATTGTGGAGTGTGATATATTTTTAATTGATGTTTTTGGTAGTTGGCCAGGACCTATATATGATGTTAGAGTATTCAGACGAAGTATCACCTGTCAAAAACTTATTGAAGATCATTGGTCTATTTTGTCCTTAAATTGCCACATATTGTGTGATAGAGCATATACATTATTGGAAAGCCATATGGTACCTTACAAGGATACAAGTGAAGCCCAAAGAGTTTAATAAATTATTAAGCAGCTCTGTAGGAGTTATTGAGCAGGCCTATGGTAAATTAATTGGAAGAGGAGTTTAAAAAACTTAAGTATGTATTGTATTAGAATTTATTTACTTTTTATATTTTATAATTTTGTATATTATTCTTTTCTGCAGACATGTGGATATATACAAAAAAAAAATAATAATTTTGTAGTTTAATTAGTGAAATACATTATGACAAAATCTATTTTCCTAAATAATGCTATTGTGTATTATGTAACTTCTATCTATAAATCTTTTTTTTTTTTAATGAGATGTATATCATAGTATATTACAATAATAAAATAAGATATGGAAAATAAAAAAATATACATATACATATTTTCTTTTTTTTTTATTAATTATTTTAACAAAATGTATAATATTAAAAGTATTAAAAAAAAAAACAAAACAAAACAAAAACAAACAACCCAAATGATATAACAAAAGAAAAAAAAACGAAATAATAAAATATTTTATGATAAAACATTATTAATAAACAAATTATATTATAAAAAAAAAAACAATAATAACTTTTTAATAACTTTCACAGGAACTTAAAATTGTATAGTTAGCATAATATTATACAGTACATAAATTGATTGAAAAGATAATAGCTGTATAATGCAGATATTGTAGTGCAATTGTTTTCAATATAATATATGACTAATAACCTCCTTTTTCTCTGTACTTTAAATAAATAACTACAAAATGGCCATTTTCGAATTTTTAAATGTTTTAAATTAAACACATTTTTTAGTGATTCTTAACTTTTTTTATTTAAGACCTTTAAAGAAATGAGGTTATTAGTCATACATTATATTGAAAACAATTGCACTACAATATGTCCATTTTATTTCAAATTACAGCTATTATCTTTTCAATTAATTTATATACTGTATAAAACATGTTAGATTATGTTGCAAAAAAAAAAATAATAATAATAATAATAGTAACTTTTACAGGTACTAAACATTTTATAATTAACAACTATATTCTATATTAAACATGTCTAACTTTTTTTTCTATACATAATTTACAACATTTAACTGTTTCAATGTCTATCATCTTCTTTTCCCTATTATCTAGTTTATTCAAACTTTAACTTTAAAATAAAATCAAACAAATAATAATAAATTAAAAGGAGGGACATACTTCCAATGTGGGTGTAGCCACTTTTATAGGTGGGAAGTTGAAAAGGTAGAATACAGATGAGAATTTTATGTACTCTGTAAGCAATGATAAATCATTACTAAAGAAAAAATGATTGTAAGCTGAGTTTAGTTGATAGTGTTGCTTTGTCAATAATATATATGCCATATTATGGTAAAATAATTACTTAGGCATTCTATATTTTTCTTTAATAATATTTGTTTAATATTGTACCTAATTTCATGTTTTTCATAAGGTTTTTAGTTAATAGTGTAGCTTTGTCAACAATATATATGTGATACCATGGTAAAATGATTACAATAATGTGCATTTCCATGACAAAAATGATTGTTTAAAAAAGATTTAAAATAATATAAACTTAATAACAACAATAAATAAATAAAAAAAGTTGCCAATGACAACCTTATTTTTAACCCGAAGACCAAGGTTTTCATTACTATCTCGATAGTATATTGATATTAATGAGAATTTCAAAAAATGATTTCTCTAAAGTACCACCCAGAGAACATTTTCTTCCAGAAAAGGAGCTATACTTGATAATCGGTGTATGCTTTCTGGTAGAAAAAACGTTCACATAAGGGAAAAAATAATTATCATTGTAAAACCAATACATTCCTCACTGCACTCAAAATCTAAAATATATTATTTACAAAATAAAACTGACTGTCTGATAAGTTCTTCATTCTGACTAGTCTATTCCATGAGAAAAAAGTATAGGTTTGTGTATGTTGAGTGAACAGTGAATTCATTTAAATTCCCTGCACATAACCACCAGAGTTTATGAAGAGTTATACAACGTGCTTAAATGATCAACTATTATTGTGCGAGATATACATTGCAACAGCTTGGTCATCTATGTTTAATCAATTTTAATCATGTATAATATATTATGAATTAATATTACTATTAATTTTACAAAATTAAGTTTTAAATAAAAAAATGAAAGAAATAAAGTCAGAATAAAAAGACAATGCTAATATTATGTATATCATGTATAAACAAACAATGATAATGATTAACATGTTATAAAGATTTATTGTAGTGGTTTTGGTGATTTGTTGGCTTTTACCTTTACTTTTAGGGGTAAAACCACTACCTACTTTTAATTTTCAAATAGCAACCTATATTCAAAATTCCATAAATAGACAGAGTATTAGTTAAAATAAATGTTAGTGTTAGAATTTTGGATTTATGTCAATCCGTTGACAAGATATATAACTTTAATTTTGGGTGGGAAGAGAGTAATGGTGCATTATTAACATGCAGTGCTCTCCTCCATACAAGGCATTTCCGCCACACATATGATACACTGGTACTCCACTACTCTTCTCTAACCCAAACTTAAAAGTAGAATCTTTTGTCAATGGATTTACAGAAATCAAAATTTTCAACATCAACATTTATTTTAACTAATATTTCATCTATTTATTAAATTTTTAATTTAGACTGCTATTTGAAAATCAAAAGTAGGTAGTGATTTTACCTTCAAAAATAACGGAGACAAAAAATAACATAAATATAAAATTGTAGAACAGCTTGTTTCTTAAATATTCTAGAAAACAAATTCCAGAAAAATTTAATACTTTCTGAGATTACAAGTGTCTTATGATAGATTGATCACCCTGTATGTATATATAAATATTTTTTCTTTTTGAATAACCGAAATTTAAAAAATCTCAAAAGGTTCTAAGGACCAGATTAAAAGTGAAAAAAGTAACACCCATATAAATAATTTTACCTTTTGGCGGTGAAATGGATTGCCTTTTACCAACTAGGATTACAGCTTCTTACATTGAACTAAAATATTGCCATTTAACAGCCTTTTCGCCAGATTTTCTTGATAAGTCATAAAATTGTTTATATTTCCTCAATAATCTTCTCTATTTTTGCTGGTAAATTGTAGTTTTTGGCTTTCATTTTTTGGGAAACAGCTTCCCAAAGTGAGACTTGCAGTTCTTTTACACATTAAATTCAAACAAATACACAGTTCTTCAGAATAAGACACATGCAATTAAAACAATAATTTTTGTGTAATTAAATGTCCATTGAGCTGTAAAAAAGCAGGTATAATGTATATATTACTTATTAAAATATAGGTACCTACTATAAAAATAAAAAATAATAAAATTCTACAATATTATTTATATGATAACTGATAAGTGTCAACAATTTAATAAATTTGCAAAATTCTCACATTTTTCATTGTACTAAAAAAAAAAAGTATACTTTTTATTTTCATCTTCAACATAGTCAATAATTGGTTCTGAAATTTCTGAAATTAATAAAAACTAATACTTAGAATAGGAACATAGACTTATACAATTATACATCTAGATCAGCGTTTCTCAAACTGTCAGTGGCGACGCACTGGTGAGTCCTGATTCACTTTTCGGTGAGTCGTTAAATTTGTTTTGAATCATATGGATTCAAAGAAATGTATGTTTTTGGATTCTGAGCAGATGAGGAATGCATTAGTTTTACAATAATGTTATTTTTTTTTATTTTTATCCCTGAACAACTTTTCTATCAGCAATTTTGTTCTGATTTTCAATTGCAGCACTTTTTCTGAAATAATATCTTATTGGGGGTAGTACTTTAAGGAGGTAATTTCTTAATTTTCCCAGCTGTTTTCATAAACTACGTATTGAAAAGTGAAACCATGCAAGTCGTGATAGATTTTCGGAAATCTATCACAGAAAAATTTGGGTCGCTGTTCTAAAAAAATTGAAAACCACTAATCCAAATGGAACATTCATCCAGAGGCTCCTTGGCACTTTGTATAGGTTGCATGGATTACCAGTGTATTTAGTTGAATTTTTTTTTCTTAAATTTTAATTAAATATAATAATACTTAACCACAAAATAATAAAATAACCACTACTAAATTAGGTGTAATATTTTTTCAAAAATAATTACACTGAAGTAAATTTTGAGTAACTTTCTGTTAATAAATTAATATTTGTTGTTTACTTAGTTTTAATTTCCTAATTTGACTTAAAACTATTTAAATTACAAAATACAATTTGGATTACTGTTGTAATTCACATGACCATTGACGTGAAAATTAAATATCTATGCAACCAACGCAGGTTTATTACTTATTAATAATAATATTCAATACATACGTATAATAATATTCTCCCAATCAATTCTTAAAGCTATTCTTGTTGTTTTAAAAATGTGAAGTGAACAGTTACACTACAGAAGTGAAAATAGTAAACACAATACAATAATAATAAATTATAACTAATATAATTATTATTATTATTGTTATTAGGTATTATTAATAGTGATAATAATAACAGTAAATATGATGATGAGAACGACGGCGGAAGTCCGGGCCTCCACAGAAAATAAGTGGTTGGATCTGAGAGAAAACGAAATAGATAATTGAAAACAAACCATATCGACGATAAAATAGAACCGGTGTCAATTTTTCGGTATGTCCATTGAAATGTCTCTGTGACACACCTAACCTAACCGTTACACACCGGTTTATTTTGACACATCGGTTTAATCTACCGAATTACTAGTGGTGCGTTGCCTAAATGGCCAATCCACGGCCAATATGGTACCAATCACGTATTTGGCGTTGCCTAAACAGTCAGGCTGCTTGTCGCATACGTTGCCTGGACGGATTTTGTGTATCCTGGCCGTCGGCAAATCGGCCATCCCGTCGAGCAGAATCGTCGACGGGCAGTCGTTAATAAGATGATAAATTTGTTGATAATAGCATAGTTTTTCGAAAATATAATTATTTTTCTTGGATATTGGTATTAAGCTATTAAGATTAACGACCACATTTAGGACCATCCCGAATTCCCGACAAACGACCAAATACCTATGGGCAAAACGGCTCTATTTACCATCTATGAGTATACTTATAAGTGAATGTATGATAATTGATAATTGATAAATCGCTGATAGCGGTTTTTGCGTCGCTTTCCAACGGTCAAAAATTTGATAAAAATCAGATAAGCCGAACGGGCAATCGTCAGTCTGGCCGTTCAAGCGACGCACCTTAGATTGTAAAAGAGTAGCTGCACGATGTAGAGACGATCTTTTCTACATTGTGAGTAGTCATTTCTTTTCCAATGTGACCAACTTCTATAAGCAAAACAAGTAAGTGACAGTCACTGTTAGTTGTAAACTGGAGTAGCACACTGTGGTCTTTGCCTTGTGGACTTGTCGTAGTGTGGTCGCCAATTTGAAATCATTTGTGAAAACTCGCTGTTATTTCATGCCATCACTTGAAAGTTGAAATTACTTACGTTACAGCTTAGTGCTTACTACTTGTTTAACGTTTACACTTATCCACTATAAAATGCCTTTTATTAAGTTGCAAAGTTCGGACGGAGAAGTCTTTCAAATTGACTTCGACATTGCTAAAGCTTCAGTTACCATTAAAACTATGGTTGAAGACTTGGGATTAAAAGAAGACGACGAAGAAATTGTACCATTACCTAATGTTAACGCACGTATTTTGAACAAAGTTATTCAATGGGCAACTTATCACAAGGATGATCCGCAACCAGCAGAAGATGTCGAGGGTCGTGAAAAACGCACCGATGATATATCAAGTTGGGATGCAGATTTTTTGAAACTGGACCAAGGTACACTATTTGAACTCATATTAGCAGCTAATTATTTGGATATCAAAGGCCTATTAGATGTTACATGCAAAACTGTTGCTAATATGATCAAAGGTAGAACACCTGAGGAGATCAGAAAGACATTTAATATAAAAAATGATTTTACTGCTGGCGAGGAAGAACAGTTGCGTAAGAAAATCGATTGGCCTGAAGAAAAGTAAATTATTCTTAATCATACATTTAAATTTTTTTTTTTCAATATTATAATAATTTAAAATTGTTTACAATAATTTTACATTAATCATAAATATTTTTATTTATTTATATCTTTTAATAAAACTTAAGTTGTCAAGTTTATTTTGTAAGGATTAAAATAACATTCACAAATATCTTTGTGTTTCTTTTGATGTACAATTATGTGTTATTTGTATTTTATCATTTGATTAAAAAGTTTATAAATTATATACTATTTCTTTTTGGCTAACAACACAAATGTGTAATATGGTTTGATTTAATTCTGTATAGAATCTTACTGATTTAACTAGTAGTTTTCATTTATTCAAATGACTTTTTTATCCATGTGTAGTAAAACTATTAATTTTTGCAGAATAATAATGTGTAACAATTTATTACAGTAAACATGACTGATTGAATTTTTATTTGTTAATAATTAGTTATTTTTTAAAATATAATCAAGAAATAAATACAATAGTACATTTTGGGTTGAATTTAACTTTTAATTATTTACCAATTATGTATATATTTTTTTTATAATATTATAAAAATATGTTTATTTAGAATTTTACAAATAGCTGAAAATTACTAAGTAATGTAATAATAATTTAAGTGAACAATTAACTAATATAATTTAACATTAACTATTACTTATAATAGTATAATTTAGTCAACTAAAGTAAATAATAAAATTCAAAATGAAACTATCCTACAGTACAATTGGTAGAAATTAATTTAGGTCCCTAATTAATTTGATAAAATAATAATTGTTTTGACTAAAGATTTATATTAAATATTTCTGTAAAAGTTCTATAGGTATTTATTAATTCAATTTTATATGCAACATTATAATTTTATTGTTAGAAGTTCTAAAAAATTAATTTGCTATTACTTAATTAAAGTGTAAAATATGTATTCAGTTAAAACCAGCAGGTAAAAAAGGTCACAGCAAAAAGATGTTAAATATACTTAACTTAAAAATCAAAAATATTAGTGGTTAATTGCAGGCTATTAACTTGATTTTTTTGGGGGCTGGGGGGGACTAAATATATTAATTTTAATTAGTAATGGTATTTATTTTTTTAATTTATACAGTTATCTGAAAACACTTATGCAGAATTACAGAATAAACTTAAAACATGTGAAGATTATTTAAGTGCTCAAAGGTTTGATTAATAATGTAGCAGCACTTCTTTTGTTATTGTGCCCAGGCTGTATAGATATTTTATTAATTATTATATTACTTTTTGCTCCATTGACTGGTGGTGTGTATAGCTTCATCTGTTATGTAAACTAAATCTCCAGATGTGCATGATACTTTAGTTTATAAGATATATTAGGATGTGTTTCTTTTGTTCACTTTCACAGTCGCAGTTAGTATATTTGTCTATGGTCACAATATTATAGTTAATTAATAATTATCTTGGTCTAGACATACTAAAGTTATCATAATATTTATATGTCTATTATGGTTATAGATATTATTATTCATATAAGTGAGGATAATAGTAATACCAAATAATTGATAATCTTAAGTGATATCAAATATGGTTCAATTGGTATTTTTTTCCATATGAAACGTGTTTAATAAAACTCATATGTATATTGCTTTTCTTTTGTTTTAATATGTTAAATTATAATAGTTTGCAGTCTATTTTCTTATTTTTATTCGTCTTAAATACCTGATAACACTTGGCTTGAATACTCAATTGAAATTTTAGAGAAATTTGGTAAACTAGATTGTAATTTTCCATTGGTTATCTAATTTAATTTTTATAAACATTTGAAAAAGCTCGAAATCAGTTACTAAAGTTTGATGATAAGGAATATAATATTGAAAGTTTTTCCGCAGAAGACTATGTCCATGATCCGGAGTAAAAGAAAAAAAAAAAATCTTAGAAAATATCTGAAGATATGTCTTCCAACAGTGATACTGTGGATAATATTGTTTACCATTATTGTTTAGTATACTAAAAGCACTGACATGGGTAAAAATTCTAAAAAAAGTAATTATTTTTTAGATATTATTCTATTGCTAAAATTATAATATTATTTCAGAAATATTAACAAATAATGAAGAAACTGAACAAAGAAATAATTAAGCTGTCATCCATTAACTACTTGTTAAGGATTTTATAAATTTGAAACCAACAACACTACATAATAAAAGGTGAAATATAACAATAAATTAATAAATTTTTAAATTTTAGTTTAAATAATATTGATGAATATTACAATATCTACAGCTATCACAAATATAAATGCAACATCTATGTACTAGATGCTGCATCAGTGGCCTATACATAATTTTGTATGGGGGGATCAGTTTCAAACAAATTATGGAAGAAAAATTTCTAAACCTAGGTACCCGCACATTAAAATAATAAATAATAAAACATTTAATACATTTAATTTTAAAATTCTACAAATAATTATAATACAAAATTAAATTTTTTTTTTTTGGTAAATTCATCAATTACTTCTTCAGTAGTGATAGGAATGTTTCTATGAATTGCCATTAAAGCGAGGCCATTTATTTCCTCCTATAAAAAACAAATTAACTAATTCATACAAAATATGTAACTAATAACAATAAAGTAAATTTATTTATTGTTTACAATAGAATATACCTCGTTCATAGTGTTTCTTAAGTAAGTCTTTAACCTTTTTAAACATAAAACATTCTCTCAGATGTAGCAGTAGATACTGGTAATGTGCAAACTATTCTAATTTATCAAAATAATTAAATAAGTTCACTACAATATTTTAATGCATTTTATCCAATCTTTGGTTGTATATTCAATCTTTTGAGTTTAATATTCCACATTTGTAACTCTTGTAACATTTGTAATAGCTTTGATTTTATCAATATCACTATCAGGGAAATAAAATTTTTTTATCTCATCAAATTCAATTAGTATATCATCTGAATCATATGAAAATAAACACTCTAAACCTTAAACATGAAATAGACAATTTATTTAGTATAGTAATAAGTAAACAATGATTAAAATTTATGTTTATTCACCATGTTCTAACCATTAAAAACATTTCTACTTACTAAGAACTTGTATTCCTATAGCTTTATGAAAGCATGGATGAATGAACTACATATAGTTATTTGAAAATAGGTTTCCAGTTCAAGTTCATTTTTTTTTATCGTATAATGGGTTATCTCGATTTTGCCATTTCTTATTCAAAGGTTTAATTGAAATAGTTACATCTAAAAATTCAGTAATTTTCTAATATAATTTAAAAACAGAGTAAACATACAATTGAAATAATTTAATAATTATTAGTTACTTTTGCTTCTTCAACATCTATGTTAAGACTTCAATGAGATATCCATGTTGATTGTTAATACAAAATTGATAATATTTTAGTATAAATGCATAAAAACCATGGTGCGTTATAATATTCTTATTTTTCAAAACTTTTTTTATTATAGGAAAATTTACTGTCAACTTATAATAATTATATTTTATATACTACCATAAATGAAAGTAATATATGATTAATGTTAACTGATTAGTCATTAGTAAATTAATTTTAAATTTTGCCATTTTTTTTTTTATATTCCATTTAACACCCTTACGAAAAATACTATTTTATACAATTTAAATAAACTCCTATAGGGGGATCTTACTCACAGAAACTGTCTTCCAAATGACAAAAATGGAAGAAAATCTACAATTACTGGCTTCTTGTAATACTTAAAGTACTTTTACTAAGTGTGATAAAAAAATACCTGGACTGTTTGAATTGCATGCCAACACGTTCTGTCAATATCAATCATACTGCTCTTGGGCACTTGTTGGTGCGTTATCCAGTAATTTTAGTGATGTTTTGAAATATTTGTATTTTATTGAAGTTTTAATCTATATGTCAAAATAGGTTTTAGATGTGATTTGTAGATTATTAATTTGGTTTTCAAGTTGATAAACTTATTGTTTAAAATTAGAGATTTTTAGATTTTATATTTTAATTTTTAAATGTTTATTTCATGTAAGTCTTTAATCAAGAGGAAGTCCTAAATATTTAACTGTTTTGGAACATTATTTATAAAAACAGTTTGCCAGTACTCGTGTCTTAATGTGAAGGTAGTATGTACTGATTTAGAATAATTTATTTTAACTTTCCATTTATTCAATCAGTCATTAGTTTCAGTTTTTATTTAGATTGGCTTTTGCTATAACAGGGTTATTATGCATTACTAATATGGCTTTGTCATCTGCATAATCCCCTACTAAATTACTAAATTATAACCAAGAGTGGGTTGATCAGAGGCGAATATATTAATTAATATGAGAGAGCGTATGTTACTTCAGGGTACTCCAACTTTTATTAAAGAGCTATTTGAAAATGATTGTCAATAAGATAGGATATGATTAAGAGAAAAAGAGATTAATGAAGACATTTTCGAAGTTTATATAGTAGGCCATCATGACAGGCTCAAATTTCTTAAGAAATAGCAAACAAATTTTCTGTTGCAGTAACAGTAAAGTTTTTTTCAAGTGAAGAGAAAATAGCATTTAGGAATCTATGAACTTGGTGAATTCTACTGTGCTTAAAACTGCGAGTGAGGGAATATATTTTTGAGAATTATAAGCAGTCAATTTTTTGAATAAAGATAAGACTTTCTGATAAGGGTTGGTATGTGTACATTTTTTAAGAAAAGGTTGTAGTGGGAAGCAAGTTTATTAAAGCCAATAGGTAAAATTCAATTTTTAATCTATGTAATTTTTGCGAGTTCTGAGTTTTCATATTATAGACTAATTATAGACATCTATAAAATGAAAATAAAAATATATCAATGGAATGTCTAAGTAGATATAAATTTAAAGACTATATAGATCTCATAATGGACATCTTTCAGATGTCTATTTTTGATTTTTAGGTTTCATTATATACACCAATACTATTAAGGTTTTTAGGTATTATTCTAATATTTTGATTGGACTTATATTAACTTAAAATTAAGTACTTATACTTATTTATATTTGTAAATTTATAATACAAATAATATTTTCAGATAACATTACAATCTTGATTTGTGGGAAATACATTGCCTGAAACAATACATAAAGTAATGCCGCCTATGTTTAATAATCAATTTATTTCAAAATATTCTTTTATAGGATTCAATAGGAAAAATCTGTTTTCCATACTGTTGTGTTGTTCTATTATGAATGGTTAAAACTATTTTATTAATATTACTCTAAAATTCTATATTTTATTATTACTTTTCAGATATTGTTCATGTAATGACAAAAATTAAAGATTTAATTAACATAGAAATTGAAAACCTCAATAAGAATTGGATGGCCTAGATCAGCAGTTGCCAACCTTTTTCAACTAGTGAACAACAATCAAAATTTTAAGATTCAACTTAGACTAAGATAATTGACATCAATTTATTTAGATATTGGGCATGTTATTATTTATATTTTTAAATAAATTCAGAAGAGTAGTTGTAAATTGTACATAATATATATTTTATTTAATTTCAGTATGTGTACAATTTTTACACATTTTTTTATATCTTATGTGATAGTTGACATTAATTCACTGTAAGTTTTGAGAATTCTGGTAGTTTAAATAAATTAAATGAAGGAATACATAGAAAAAATTGTACAAATTGGTCATTTTACATAGAAATAATTTATTTTAATAGGGGAGATTATTTAAAATGGATTATTATTAGACATTGATATGTTAATAAATATAAATAATTTGGTTATTATTTATTATCTAAAATGTATTGATACAAGATATTATTTTTAATATTGGTTTGTATATTAAAAATATTATTTTGGGTATTTAATATCTCATAGTCTGTCAAAGTTAATATGGCTATTTTTTATAACATGTTTAGCCAAATTTAAATTCAAATCAAAAAAAATTTTTTGTTGTAATTTAATTTTAAGTTTTCATAATCCCGTATTTTGCTTGCTATTAAAAAATGCATGATAAAAAAAAATACTGAAGATATCTTTATGATAATGGTGTCATTGTAAAGTAAAAACATTAGGCTTTCAGAAAAAAATGGTTTTGAGAAAATCGGTTTAGCAATTTAAAAAAAAATATGTCTTTGCATACACTAGTGAGGTGAGTCCAATTAATTTCACGAGAATACATTTATAATATTATTTAAGCAAAAAATAAATACTCTGTTTAGTTATTTAATGTAGGTATGAGAACGTTTGATATACATAATTGATCATACTTGTATTAACAAAAAATAACAATGCTGTAGGGGAATCACGGTAATATATTATAGATACAAATATTTTATTTGAGTTGGATGATTGTATATTTTCACCAATTCATTTAATTAATTTTGTTTGATCAAAATTTAGATTTATGCTCTCTGAAAGCATACCTAGTTCAGTTAGTAACCTTTTATAGTTTTACTACAGCCATATAAAATTAATAACCTTAGTAAAAAGCTTGTTGCATTGTGATCTCATGAAATTATGCAAGTTAGAAGCAAACCAAAATAATTTCATAATTAGTATCAAAATATAGATAGCTTACAGTTCAAAAAAAAAAAATAGATACAGTATTATATTCTGATCCTAAAACAAATGTCAGTAATTAGTCAAGTTCATCATATTTTATTATGATAATATAAAATGATTTTTATTATGGATTAACTGTTTTTTTTTTTTCTTAAATAAAGGTGGCAATTTTTTTATATTGTTTTTAAATAAAGTTATATTTTTTTGTTATATTCATAATGAATATGATAAATATTAATATTTGTTGTTAAAACAAAGAGTATTTTTTATATTTTGTTAAAATAATTATTATTATTAAAATAACTATACCTAAATACCTAATAGTACATTACTAACACATGATAATAACTGTTAATAATAATCTATTAATGTAACTGTAAATTATATATCATATTTAATAAAATAAATATTGAGCTAGTTTACGAAATGATTTCTCCTGACATCAAAAATGTATATATGTATATTCCTAAGCGTAACAGTAAATTGTATAAAAAATAAACATGTACAAAATCATAAATTCAATACAAACAAATACAAAAAATTATTAAATCAAGTATTTTAAGTGCTCTTTTATCTGAAATTTTAATTTGAAACTAGTCATATAATACACTTATCATAATATTCCAAGATGTATTCATTTATTTCTATATTTATTTACTATATTTAAATACAGACATTTAACAAAAAGTATCTAGAATTTAAATAAATAAATTGAAAAGTAATATATGAATTTAATACAATTGAACATTATTCATCTAATATTATTATAACTTCTTATATTAATTATTCATAGTAACAAAATGAAAAAATGCAATAACATTACAAGGCCCTGTGTCAAATACTATCACAGTATCTTTCATTTAAATTCCTTATTAATTTTTTTTATTTATTAAATGTACCTAGTAGACTAGTTACTTAGTACTCATCGTGATTATTTTTCTCTGCCTCTTAATGGTGAGTTAATAAGAATCGACTACACTGTGAACTATACCATATTATTAATATTCAATATTTATTGATAATATTAATATATTGTGATTAGTGATGATAAAATCAGAAAGTTCAAAATAAATGTTAAATTTTATACTATGCAGAAACTATTGTTCTGTACATAATATGTATATTTATTGGCTTTAAATTAAAAATCCATCATCCGGTATATCATAGTTAAAATGTAAAATGGGATTGAATAAAAAAAATAAATGAAGGAATACATCAAAAAAATGATAAATTTTTAATTTGAAACTGGCCGTATAATATACTTATCATAATACTCTATGTACCGCATTCATTAATTTTTTTATTTCTATATTTCTTTAATATGTTTATTTACAAGTATTAATCATTAATAATTTTATTTTTATTTTGTTACTTTATTGTTTATAATAATAATATCCATTATATACTAATCAACAATTAATATATGCTCACCTTGAAAACTTGATTAAATTAATTCTATAGAAAAGTAAAATAACTAAAATTATGTAAATATAGAGAATCCAAATTTTTCTAACAATAGTATGTTAATGCTACAGAGTTATACAAATAATATAAAGTTATTCACCACCAATTTTTTTATTCAAAACCATTGCATATAATTCTTCAGGAACAGGCTGATTGGATTTTTCCAAAACATCTACGAGTTCAGTAGCTTTATGCCGATTATTATGAGAAAATAAGGTAATCGCAAAACCCTTTCTTCCTGCTCTGCCAGTTCTACCCACTCTGTGAACATACTCTTCGATGTTTAATGGAAAATCATAGTTTACCACCAAATTGATGTCAGGGATATCGATGCCTCTAGCCGCCACATCTGTAGCAATGAGAATGTTCACAACTCCATTGCGCATATCAGCCAATGATTCCTCTCTTTCCACTTGCATTCTTCCTCCATGTATACATCTAAAAATAAATTATCAATATTAGATTTATTAAAGTAAGCTCCCGGATTATAATAATAATACTTAAGATACCTGCATGAAATATTTTGGTCACAAAACTTGTTGTATTGTTCTTCAACAGTCACCTTTTTACTCATGAATATTATCACTCTATCTTCCTTATGGATTTTATTATGAATAAAGTCATTCAACCAGTGTTTTTTATGGCGTTCAGGAAGCACAATAATTTTCTGTTCGACTGTATCCACAGTAGTTAAATTAAAGGATCCTATATGAATCTGAACTGGATTGCGAGTATACAGTTTGGACAACTTTTTAACACTGTCTGGCCATGTGGCACTAGTCAAAACGGTTTGTCTATCAGAACGTATTTGTCTTAGTGACAATTCTATTTGATTTTTGAAGCCCATATCTAGCATACGATCAGCTTCATCCAATACCAAATACACAACATGTTCAAGGTTAATAGCCTTCTGACCAATCAAATCATTGAGCCTGCCAGGAGTAGCAGCAACAATATCCGGTCTGTCATTTATTAAACGACTTATCTGAATATGAGAATTATCAGATCCACCATACACACTTTGCACACGGATTCCATTGAATACATACTTCTTAACTTCTTCTTCAATTTGCAATACAAGTTCTCTGGTTGGGCCCAATATAAGCACATACGGTCCAATACGTTGTTCGCGTGGAACAGGCTGTCGCATCAAATTAATCAAGGCCGGAAGTATATAAGTCAACGTTTTTCCAGTACCTGTTTGGGCAATAGCTATTAAGTCGTGTCCACTCATAATATATGGCCAAGCCTGGCATTGTATAGGCGACGGCTCTTTGAATTTCTGTTGTCTTATCAATTTCATGATTTCAGGATATGCGTGAAAAGCATGATGGAAAGTTTTCACCGGTTTCAGAATTGGTGGAAGAACAACTGGATTAATATCACCGTCTTCTAACTCATTGTTAACATAGTTCACCATAATATTATTTTTTTCCAATCTAAACGCATTTACGTCTTCGTCACTCATAGCTGTCACTTCTTTGTGTTCGACATAAAATTCCTTAATTATCTTCGGTAATGATGCAATGTGTTGAAGTTTCGCCTCTTCGTTTTCTCTTTCGATCTCTGCCCATTGTTCGTCAGTGATAGTAAAAGTTTCGAGAGGAGATGAAGGTCGATCGCTCCCACGCTTTTTCCGAGGAGGCGGATTTGGATTGTCCACCGTTTGCACCTTTAACACTTTGCCGCCAGTAACATGCAAGACAAGATCGCGAGCTGAAAATTGTGCTTCTTGACTGCCGATTATTTTTACTACACATGTATTGTCGGTATTGTTGTTGATTAACTTGACGATTGCGCCGCTTTCCTTTTGAATACTTTTGATCTTTGCTCCACCGCGCCCGATTACTAAACCAGCTAATGACGGTTCAATGTCTATCACGGTAAATGACATGGTGTACTGGAACTGAATCAAAAACAATGACCGTTAAATGCAAGAATGTATATTATATCAATTATAAAATATTAATAAATGCGAACAATATTATACAATGCAATTACGGCCGTTGAATGAGATTAGTTCTTTTTTTGGCCAACGCAGATAAAATTAAAATGGGCGTCTTCAATTCGCACAGTGTCAGTGTGGCATTTAAAATAATTGATTATTTCCATACAATGAACTGTTACACATGTACAGCTGAACCATACATATATGTGTGTTTCTAAATAAATCTGGCAAACCAGCGGACGCTCAGCCGATTGATAGAGTTTAAAAACACTTTGTCATTCAGTTGGAACATATTGGTTAGTATAATTATTTAAGGTTACCAAATAGGCCATTATCATCATTTTTATCACGGTCTTAAAATATAAGATAAGGCGAGTATCGATGGTACACACGTTTTTACTACCGAAAAAATTCGGAACGGGTGCTGTGCTGCGCTCTATTAGTATAATAATTTGTATATCATGAAATCTATTACAAGAAATATAAATTAGTAATTTATTCATAAACATTATTACTCTAAGACAGTGTCATAGACATTAATTTCCTCATCCCTATTTCCTATTAAGGACTCACTAAGGATCATTAGTGCACCAAATATTGCATTTGTATCTTTTAAGTTTGAATATCAATGTAAAATGCCTAAAGTATGTTTTGTTTGCAAAAAAAAAAAAAAAACAAAAATTGCTATCATTAAAAAATTGGAGGAAAATTGTTAGTACAAAAGTTGTGCACAAGAAAAAAAATCGTAATATTTTAGTAATATATTTTATACATATTCTCATTTTTATTAGGATTTTAGCATATGATAACAACACCCTTGAACAAATTGAAAAATATCCTCTTTAAAGTACCTACCCACACGGATTTCCTTTCAGGAAAGGTCCTACATTTAAAAATCTGAGTAAGTCTTCTGGTAGTAAAGTTGTTCACAGATAAAAAAAAAAAACGAAACAAATAAACATTTTTATAAAACTAGAAGTTTGTTTACTTCACTCAAAATCTAAAAATAAAATAACTTCAAATTTTAAAAATTAACACTTATATTAAAACAAGATATATTTATACTTTACATTATTTTTCATTTATAACAACCAATACATAATAAATAATTAAATATATCAATGAACCCATATTAAGGTTTACCTACAATAAAATATAATATTTGCTATTAACTTAAAAGTAAAAGTTTACATTTTTGGAATTATTCTTTCAAGAACTATTATTATTCTTAATGGCCCCCTGTAAAAAAAGGTGGCTGTTGTAGAACATTATTAAATTGTTAAAACTTATCCAGTCCAAATCACTGGTGTGCTTTTAATAATGATAATTATTAATAAGGGAAAAATTAATGAAAGTATTATATTATTTATGTCAGCGGTTTTCAACCTTTTTCAGTCCACGGTGCTTCTGATTTTGGAATCTAAATTAGCGGTTCCCTAACAATTAATGATAGTAATAAAAATATTAAAATAAATAAATTCACGTTATTAAATGATACAATAATAAAGTAAAAACAAAATTATTAAATGGTCAATAATCAAAATAAATATAAAATAAATAAATGAATGTGACACATTTATTTATTTATTCATTGCATTACTCTACTATATTTACTGTAGACACAGCTCCCTTGATAATTATCTACAACACCCCTGGGAGCGGTGAAGCCAGTTGTTGAAAACCACTTACTTATGTAATTTTACTAAAAATAATTAGAGCTCTAATTTTCCAGAATTTTTTACTATTTCATTTAAAAAAATTTACAAATTATTTCTTTTGAGAAAGGTACAGATATTTTGCAGAAAAAAAAACTATCACCAAGTCAGAAATGAAATAATCATAAACAAATTGATAATTTTTTTTTTTTCATAAAATCTATTAGTTTGCAATAAGTTATTGAATAATTTATAATAATAATAATAATAATAAGAATAATAGAATATTTAAAAATTATTGAAGACTAATATGGCTATTTGATTGATTTATAGACTACCTACAGTCTATAAGTTAGATTTGTATTCATAAGTTTTTAATAATAATTGTATCATATTTATTTTAATCAATCGAAATTAATCAAAAATATATAGGGACTGTACAATTATATTAGTTATATTATCTTTTATATATAAATATCTTAATATTATTATTTTTAAAATTGAATAACCCATTAATCGTTAAAATATAATTAAACAAATGCTTTAATATGATAATAATATATATTATACAATAATAGGTACACTAATCAAATCATTAATTAAGTATAGCTGACAGATGAAAGAAAAAATATTTCTTTAACACTGAGCCTAAAAGTCAAGTAAGGCATGTCTATTTTTTTAAACACTAAGTTAATTCTAAAATCAGCATATCCTTTTTATATCAATTATTTCTTTAGGTCTTAAATTAAAATTATTCCTATTATAGAATCTTTTAAGATTAATTTTCTGTTACATAATTGTCGCATCTCAGATGTGCGCGGGGACAACAGATGAAACTGTGTTAAGAGTTCTAACTTAGAACTATTGAAACGCATTTCCAGTAATGTTTCTTGCTTTTGTGACTTGCATAACTTGACTTTTGAGTTCTGTGATTTTTACAGTTATATAACACAATAACAATTTTCAATGATTACTTAAATGATAAAATAGAAATTAACTTAAAATACAGTTTCTTTGATTTGTTTGGTTTAATATTGATTTAAATTGAAAATCATAGTTTCTCAATTATTCTTGAACTAGTAAAAATTAAATAAATACTGAGTTTAAATGAAAGTTAACTAATTAATTCAAACTTTTTATTTAATTTTTTTAGAACAATTTTTGATGTTGATACACCTGTTTAATGAATATGGACGAATAATAAAAAAGTTGGGATGAAAATTGCACGACTCAATAGTAGTATCTATCGTGAAAATGACCAGTTGTTGTGTTCAATTAAATTAACTGAAGAATTTTTATTTTTGGTAAATTACATACTTGTAAAAAACCTAATTTATTATCTGAACAATAGTCAAACGCTTTTTGTAGAAGAAAAGTGGTTTCACACGAAAGAAAACGTCGAAAATATCTGAAACATTGACTTGTCTGTTATGTCGCAAAGGTTCTTCTGGATTCTGGGTAAAACATCCGTAGCAGAGTAACGTTACTTCACAGTATCACAGAATATACTAAACCAATACTATAAACATTAATTATTAAATAATATACTTTAGTACTTTAATTAATACATAATATTTTAGTAACTTAAATCAATACTAAAAATCAAATCTATAATAAATGACAATATTCATTGATAATAGATAAATGGACAAACTAACGATATGGTTGCCTATAATTGCCCCTTATGTACAGCTGTATTTAAACATTGTGGTTGCCTACGTGATAAATATGTGAAACTTTAATAAAATAATAATATAGGTACCGACTACTCACGGTTAGTAAATATACCTATCTACTAGAGAGCCTAGATAATACATTCTATTATATAGTTTAAATTATTAACTAGGCTCTTTACCTACTACAATACTCTCATTGATTTTATAAAATCAATATCTATATATGTGGAAACACCTACCTAATGAAACATTAACATTTTTAATTTGAACCACCGTACTTAAAAGGGGTGAGCAATAGAAGAGAGATTAAAAAAGAGCATTGTCGTTGAGTGTAGACTAGTGGCGGAAGTGCACGAACATAACTCGTTTTTGTCGTGGTTTAATCGTATCCTAAATATTGGATACTCTGTCTATAGTTTATATTATAAGTATTTGCTATAAATAATAATATCAACGGTCTGTAGGTATTTTATTTGTTTTCTATGTATTTGAGGTTCTGCACTTGTGATACTGCTTATCTATAATTTATTTATTAATGTATCGTTATCATTTGTATTAAGTGGGTTGCTCACAAGGTGGATTTATATATATCTACCTTGGTTGCTACTAATTTTATCATTTACCTACGATCAGGAACATACTCAGAATTTCGTTTTGAGGGTGGTTTTAATTTTTAACGTTAGTATCAAATTTACAACTATATTATAAAAATAAGTAGATAAAAATCTATATAAGTGTACTTATATATAAAATCTGTAATCTTTTTTTATTACTGTTATATATTACAAACACGAGTTAACCTTATAACTGTTATAACTTATATTTTTGATAGTTTATACTAGTATGTATTATGTATACATACATAAAAAAAATAATAACTTATAATCCGCGAATTAAAACAAATTATAAAATGAAATCTACCCTGTTTGAAGATGAAACAAATTTTTAAACTACTTTAGTTGGTATCTCATTGTGGATTGATAGAAGAGCTAATATTGTGAGTCGGTTGTCTCCGGTATTTGATCTGAAGTATATTTTTATACGACGTAAATTTGAAAAAAAGTCGTTATACTGTCGTGGTTGATACTGGATGAGTAATTAAGATATCAAGCATTTTTTTTATATTTTGATAAAATGTATCATCTTACATGTTTATTATTTTATAAAAAAATAAGGTTAAAATTAAGGAAGTCAATTTGGGGGGTGGTTTTGGGTGTTCAAACCACCCCCTGTGCATGCCCCCGCTTACGAGCGTTGTCTCGAATGGACTAGGCAGAAAGATCTGAAAAAGTTAGATGGTTACCAACAAAATAACATTTAGTGAAGCTGTTAGTATTAAGAAAAATAATGTTTATATTTCTGCCTTCTCATTCGCCGACATCACTTCTCGTCCTGTTTAGAATATTCTCTCCGACGCCATTACGTTAATTAAATTGATGAACGCTATCAATCATCGGTCATCTGTTGCGTTTGGCCCCGATCGCATTTTCTCCCCTTTATTTTTCAAACTTTACCACTTGACTCCTACCCAATTCTCTTAAGCATTTTAAATCACTAATGGCTTAGTTGTCTTATTCCTCCATTGTGGAAAGAGTTTAAGGTTTTACCGATACCTAAGCCTAATGGTGAAGGCTTCTGTCTCATTTCCCTTTCCTTGTCTTTTCGAATCTATCTTAAAAATCCAAATTTTTCTTAGTAATATGTACGGTTTTCGATGTGGCATTGATACCATAGAGTGCTTCGCTTATTTTTCTAATCATACTTGTATTTACCATGTATTTTGTAATCGGCAATTTAGGCAGCAGCATTGCTGCCTCGATGGTGCTCCTCGTACCGCTCCTTCTTCAGCTCTAGAAGTCATGTTATGCGTTCCCCCTTTGTATGTTCGTGTTTACTGGCTTGGACGTAAATTAATTTTAAAAAAAGCTGTCTTCTTCTGATCTCTACGATTCCCTTTCGTTGCTTTATTTATTGATTTTTCGCGTTTGCAGTTACTTCATTAAATTTATCCCACTTCTATCTAGTATTATCGATTCTTTTCGCTCTTTTTTTCCGTTTATTCATTGTACAATCAGCCGGCTGTTTTTGTACGATTCGCCTTACTATTAAGTAAGTCCTACTATTGAAAGCTTCCGTTATTATTAACTTCATTATTTTTTACTGCTGTTTACTGCTGGGTATAAAAACATTGAAAGTTCCTGGGGCGGGGTGATTAACATGCAAATTGTGGGATTGGACTCGCCAATTCTTGCAAATTCATCTAATAGACGGCTGACTTTGTTGTTCTCGTGGTTTTACCAAACTAAAAAATGTGTGCATAATGTAAAATAAATAATCTCAAAAACAACATTTCTTTGGAATTTAAAATATCCTACTTATTGAAAAAGCTTCAGAGAAATTAGCCCTCACATATCTCTTGCGTGTCTTTTAACCAAATGTCTTTCAAGCAGAAAATTCATATACTTGATGTTAGTAAAAATTTCCCCTCTAAAAACAGCCCCTTTAATTTAATAAAAAGCAATATAAAAATTTAAGTTTATAAATCTTTTAAAGTTAAATACAAAAAAAATTATTGCCATAATAATCCAAAAAAAATTTCAGACTCCTTATTACAGGAATCCATCTAATGAACTTTCATAGGAGCAAATTAGCCTTTTACAAGTCAAATATAAAATGTGAAAGGATAATTTTCATCTTAAGTCAGAAACTAAGATTAGGTGATACTAAAGCAATACCTATAAAAACATAAAAAAATTTTTTAAAAAATAAATCTTCAGTTCAAAATTATAACAATAATGCCAACTGCATAACAAATAATCATATTATTCTTAATTAATTTTATCAAATTACGATGTAATTGTATGAAATTAAAATAAAATTAGTTTTCAGAAATTTACGTCACACTTTATAAATTTTAATTAATAGGTAATTAAGTGTATTAAAAGTATAATGGTACAAACATTACATTGCAATAAGGTTTGAAAGACTGTACATAATGTAGAATAAATATTCGCTAAATCTATATTTTTTAGGATTTTATAATATATTACTTATACTAAATAGCTTTAAAAAAATAAGTACTTAGCTATCTCTAGCATGTCTTATTAGCAAACTATAATTTGAGCAAAGAACTGAGAATGCCAATACAAATACTTAATGTGACTCAAAATTCCGCCTCTAAGGACAGTACATTTTATTTAATAAAATAAATAATTATACATTTTATTTTATAAATGTTTTAAATTATAAATACAAGAAAATTATTGCCAAATCAACAAAATGTTATTTAGCTCTTGTAATATAAGTTAATCGTTTTAGATAATTTCTTTTGGAGAAAAATTAGTCTTCAAAAAGTCAAATATGTACTGTAAATCGATAATTTTCCTCCTTAGACAGATTCTAAGAATTGATGATACCAAAGCAATACGTGTAAAAAAATAAAAAAAAATTAGTTAAAAACTAAATTTTTAACTTAAAATAATTACAATTACGTCAAATGCATTACAAATGTTCACATTTTTTTAAAAATATTTTATTAAAATACAATATAATTATAAAATATTAAAAAATAAAAGATTTCGAAAATGTAGGTTACATTCTGTACATTTTAATTAATTTGTAATTATATGTATTAAAACAACCATGTGAGAAACATTACAGTTGCACATGATAGGGACGACTGTACATAATCAAAATGAAATAATCGCAAAAACAATATTTTTTCTAATTTAATAAATTTTCTATATTTTGAATAGATATTCTAATTTCATCGTTTTTCGAGAATGCCGTATTCGAGTACGGAAGAAACGAGTGATATTGCATTTGTGTTATCTTACATTCGTCCACATACCGCTCCGTCACGTTTAAATACGAATCGTCCATTATATTGCCTTTATTGAACGTAGAAATTTTAAATTTGCTGCAGTTAACTTTTTTTTCTCCTTATGTTTCGTTGGCAAAGTACGTGTTGTCTTCCCAACTCTTTGTGTATTACTAATTTCTTTATTCTATATTGGCCTATTTATACCAACGTTGAATTTAAGCGCCATATGTTATTTGGAAACGAACCGTGATTGTTTCTCCTCGTTAAGAAAATTCATAGTCAAATCGTTTTGGGGACTAGTGTGGTTAAATTCACTGGCGAAAAAGTAATAGTCGTAGGCTCTAAGAAAATAGAATTCCGTTTAACACTAGGTCTTTTACAACTAATTTTTTTAAAATCTCCGATTTCGTATACCCGACACGATCTAGACTCGTACAAGTCTATATTGTTACAAACAAATGCACATTTAACAGCCGATGGATCCAAGGTAAAAAAAGGTAGTAAAAAATATTTAAATATTATTTCAAAATTTTTTGACTCCGGTAGTGGACTACGAATGAAATTACAGAAAAGTAATTTAGTCTACTGGAATTCTCCAAACGAGTTAGTCGATCGTCTTCGATTACTTTGTGCTTCTAAAACAGCTGGGAATACAGGTGTAACGAACGATATTATATCTATTCTCGAAGAATTACTCGAAGCCGGATTAATAAAACGTATCCCAAATGTCTAAACGAGATATCGCACTCGACTTACACAAGCCGGTGAGGAGAAATTATATTCGACGTACGGTCAATGTTTATGGTAAAAACGACTTATGGCAAGCTGACTTGGTTGAAATGATACCATATTTAAAACAAAAGGATATAAATATATATTATGTGTAATAGACTGCTTTACAAAATATGTATGGGCCGTACCTTTGAAATCAAAAACTGGAAAAGAAGTCACAAAAGCAATGTCCGATATATTAACTTATCGCTCACCAATGTTATTGCAACTTGATAATGGAAAAGAATTTTACAATTTATCGTTCGATACTTTAATGGCTAAACATAATGTTAAAAAATACTCTACGTTTAGTACTACTAAAGCATTTATCGTAGAACGGTTTAACCGTACTCTAAAAGGAAATATGTTTAGAGCTTTTACCGCAAACGGATCTCGCGAATGGGTTTCTATATTACCACAGTTGATTGAGAAATATATCAGTTCAAAACATCGGACTACCGGGATGACACCGATACAGGCTGATCAAAATCCGTCATCTGTGATGTTAAATCAACGTAGTATACCTGTTAGAAAGAAAAAATTCATAGTCGGTGATAAAGTACGAGTTAGCGTAAATAAGGGCGTGTTTACAAAAGGCTATTTACCCAATTGGTCTACGGAAGTTTTTACTGTTGTAAAAATAAATAATACATTACCGTTTACATATCGGTTAGAAGATTACAAAGGAAACCCGATAATCGGCTGTTTTTATACAGAAGAAATAAATAAAACCTCCTTTCCGCACGATTATTTAGTTGAAAAAATAGTACGCAGAAATGGTGATCGTATACTCGTTAAATGGCTAGGTTTCGATAGCTTGCACAATAGTTGAATAGTTGCAAGTGTTTTAAAAAAATGACACTAGTCGTACTTTGACCATGGACGTGTTTGGTAGTATTTTAGAGGGTGAAAGAAATAAGATGATCGATGGTCTCATAGCAACAATTAAAACATTAGAAGAAAATATAGTGAAAATAACCGAGTGGATAAAAATACAAGAAAACAAAATAACTGACTGGATGGGAATACAAGAAAACAAATTAATCGCTCTCAACAAAAAATCTGATAAAATCGTGATAAAAATAAAAAATATTGAAGCGCCAATCAAAATACCATCTCCATAGTATGCAGCGTATTCCACAATAAATAAATAAATAAAGTAGTAGTCATATTACTACTACCAACGAATCTATCACCTAAATTCAGTTCAAACAGATCCATCGTGTGAGGAAGACGTGTGCAGCATAATGTCTTCCGCTATTTTAGATATACAATGTGTTTTACGATCGGATAATAAATATCTGATAAAAGAAATGTCTATAATAGATACTGAAACGTGGTCAACTCAACATTGGATATTCAAAAATTCATAGAATGCTCAAAACGGAAAAAGTCGCAAGACTAATAAATAAGAAATTTCCATAATACGCCTGTAGAATACGGTGACGTGGAATACGAGGAGCTAGGACGGATTCTAAACTCGTTAAAATTCGAACACATTTATGTCAAGGGAGAACAAAAAAGAAAATTAATCAAAGAATTTATCCCGCAAGTGAACATTGTTAATATGGAAGACTTGGACTGCCCAAGATTAGATCAATTGTATGTGGGAGACACATTTCCCTGTTGTATATTTCTTATGGACTTAAATCCTATTCATTGTACATTTTATAAAATTTTTGTATTACGAAAATGGTTTGTACATAATATTTGAGAAATAAAAGATTTATTTTTTTTTTTAAACAGATTTGTATTTACTACCTATATTTCCTTTCTTACAGGCGTCAACCTACATATCCGTATACATATACCTAAATCCGTAACTGTAATTGTTTAAACAAATAGCTTTAGAATAAAAATATTTTATAATGAATTGATAAGACTTAAAATTTATCGAATGTATAATGTTTATTAAACATAATAGGTTCTTTATACAATATGCCAGAATATTTACACATTAATTTTACAATTTATACAAATAGTAGGTATACATACATTTTTATTTTACAAATAGGTATACATACATTTTTACAATTTTTTACAAGTAGGTATATACAATTTATACAAGTAGGTATATACATTTTTATTTGCCGTCTTGTTTGTAGTGTCCATATGCCATTGTTTGTATCTTGTCTTCCATAGTAATCCTCTTGTCGTCAAAGTTATTAAAAGTAAGTAAGTATCTGTGGTGATTGTTTTGAGCTGGTGGTGGAATGAGCGGATGGAGACGTTTGCTCTGCTCACGTTCAAGTTCATTTCAAGTCAAGTTTATCGTTAAATATCTGTGTTACTTGCAATTTTCTTTATATTTATAGGCTACGGCCGTAATTAATATTGGTAAAATTATTTATAAGTATACTAATAATAATATATAGTTACATTATTTTGATAGTTCAGTAGGTACCTACTACCTACGTGTTTCAAAGTTAATAACACTTTATAAATTATTATACTATTTTAATGAGATAAAAATATTAGTGAAAACTTCATTGATTTCGCATAGGGATATCGCAAAGATTAATTGTTGCATACATATATACATTTAATTCCGCTCTATATTCTACCATCTAAACTTTTTACTTACAACAGTGACCCACCCATCGTGGGAAGTAAGTCTGTTTTTTTTTTTTGCGTATTTGGTTCATTAAATTATTAAAAAGCTATACTGAAAATAAAAAACGATTTTATTCCTCATCAACTAAATTAAAAATACAAAAAAAAAATCTCTTGTCGTTTGATAAAATAATGAAAACGTAACACTGCAGTATCATTTAACTATCGGTTTTTATTTTGTTGTTTTTTTCTGGGTTTTCCCAATTATTAAAAAATTGCTTGAAAAAACCCCTTTCTAAAAACTATAATACACACATGCNGTTTTAGAATAACCATAATACAATCATCACAATGGGACTAAATATGGTGGTCCATATAAATAGTTGAATAAACAATCGCAAAAAAAATATTTTTTCGGATTTTAAATATTCCACTTTTAGAAAAAAGCTTCAATGAAACGAGAATATACCTATCTCTTGCACGCTTTCTTAGCAAATCGTCTTTCGGGAGTGAACAAAGACTGACAATTTATATACTTAATGTGAGTCCAAATTCCTTTCCGTAAGACGGTCGCTTTAATGAATAAATATAAAAATTAAGTTTCAAATATATAAATTTTTTTAACTATAAATACAAAAAAATTTTAGGCATAATAATTTAAATGAAAATTTGCACTCGATACTCCAGTGATCGTATCAGTGACTTTCTTTAGAAAGAAATAAGCCTTACCACAAAAGAAATATATAATATGTGAAAGGATAATTTCATTCTAAAGACAGAAACTAAGATTTGAAGATATCTAAGCAATACCCAAAATACATCATAAAAACTTTATTAAAAACTAAATGTACGGCTACAAAATATAACAATATTACAAAATGCATAACAAAAAATAATAAATAAAAACATAAATTATATAAAATTACAATATACTGATACGATATTAAATTAATGTATGATTTCGATAATTTAGGTCACACTTTATACATTTTAAATAATATATAATTAAATGTATCAAAAGTACCTTGGTACATATATTATATAGGGTCAAGATATGGAAGGCTGTACATATGGTAAAACAAATAACTGCAAAAATAACATATTTACGAAATTAAAAATATTCTACTTATAGTAAATTGCTTCAACTGAAATATGAACATTATATCTCTGGCATTTCTCTTTTGCAAACAGTCTTTCGAGGGAAGAATATATACTAACAATTCATATACCTAATGTAAGTAAAAATTCTCCGACGAAAGACGGTCCCTTTTACTAAATAAACGTAAAAATTGAAAGTTAAATTATGTTAATCTTTAAACTTTAGTTAATATTAAATTATTAGAAAAACAATAATAATAAACTTTTTTACTTGATATTCCACGAATCGTTGTAGTTAAATTCTTTTGAATAAACATAATTCTTCAAAAAGTCAAATATGAATTGTAAATCGATAATTTTCATCATTTGACAGATTCTTAGAATTGATAAAACCAAAGCAATACCTGTAAAAAAAAATAAAAAAAATTAGTTAAGATTTAAATGTTTGGCTTAAAATAATTTCAGATATGTCAAATGCATTTAAAATGTTCACATTATTTTAAAAATATTTTATTAAAATACAACATAATTATAATATACAAAAAAATAAAAGATTTCGAAAATGTAGGTTACATTCTGTACATTAAAATTAATTTTTAATTAAATGTTTTAGAATAACCATAATACAATCATCACAATGGGACTAAATATGGTGGTCCATATATATAGTTTAATAAACAATCGCAGAAAAAATATTTTATCGGATTTTAAATATTCCACTTTTAGAAAAAAGCTTCAATGAAATGAGAATATACCTATCTCTTGCACGCTTTCTTAGCAAATCGTCTTTCGGGAGTGAACAAAGACTGACAATTTATATACTTAATGTGAGTCCAAATTCCTTTCCGTAAGACGGTCGCTTTAATGAATAAATATAAAAATTAAGTTTTAAATGTTCTAAATCTTTTAAACTATAAATACAAAACAAGTTTAGGCATAATAATTCAAATAAAAATTTGCACTCGATACTCCAGTGATCGTATCAGTTACNTTCAACTGAAATATGAACATTAATAACTCTGGCATTTCTCTTTTGCAAACTGTCTTTCGAGGGAAGAATATATACTAACAATTCATATACCTAATGTTAGTAAAAATTCTCCGACAAAAGACGGTCCTTTTTACGAAATAAATATAAAAATTGAAAATTAAATTATGTTAATCTTTAAACTTTAACTAATATTAAATTATTAGAAAAACAATACAAATAAAATTTTTTACTTGATATTTCAGGAATCGTTGTATTTAGTTTCTTTTGAATAAAAATTACTCTTCAAAAAGTTAAATATGTATTGTAAATCGATAAATTTCATCGTTTGACAGATTCTCAGAATTGATAAAACCAAAGCAATACCTGTAAATAAAATTAAAAAAATTAGTTAAAAACTAAATGTTCAACTTAAAATAATTACAGATATGTCAAATGCATTTAAAATGTTCACATTATTTTAAAAATATTTTATTAAAATACAACATAATTATAATATACAAAAAAATAAAAGATTTCGAAAATGTAGGTTACATTCTGTACATTAAAATTAATTTTTAATTAAATGTTTTAGAATAACCATAATACAATCATCACAACGAGACTAAATATGGGGGTCCATATATATAGTTGAATAAACAATCGCAAAAAAAATATTTTTTCGAATTTAAATATTCCACTTTTAGAAAAAAGCATCAATGAAAGAGAATATACCTATATCTTGCACGCTTTCTTAGCAAATCGTCTTTCGGGAGTGAACAAAGACTGACAATTTATATACTTAATGTGAGTCCAAATTCCTTTCCGTAAGACAGTCGCTTTAATGAATAAATATAAAAATTAAGTTTTAAATGTTCTAAATCTTTTAAACTATAAATACAAAACAAGTTTAGGCATAATATTCAAATAAAAATTTGCACTCGATACTCCAGTGATCGTATAAGTTACTTTCTTTAGAAATAAATAACCCCTAACAAGTCAAATATATTATGTGAAAGGATAATTTCATTCTAAAGACAGAAACTAAGATTTGAAGATATCTAAGTAATACCCAAAATACATCATAAAAACTTTATAAAAAACTAAATGTACGGCTACAAAATATAACAATATTACAAAATAAATAACGAAAAATAATAAATAAAATAGTAAATTATATAAAATTACAATATACTGATACGATATTAAATTAA